GATCGAAATCAGCTCAAGCCTCCCGTGCACAGCGTGACTTCTGTGCTTGGCCACCCCCACTCTGAACCCCTCTCCCGCTGTGAAAACAGCAGCGGCAGCGTGAAGACCCTGACGCAGCATCTCCCTCCTCTCTCTCACACATGTTCGTGATGTGCACGTCTTCTTAGAACGCTGGGGAGCCGGAAAGGCCCTCTGCACCAGCGTGGACGGCACCCTCGTGGTGTTCACCTTCTGAAGCGCTCGCTCGTCACCGTGGCGTGCGCGATGACCACCACCACCACGTGACTTTTCTTTTGTATTGTGCGCGGTGCTTTCAGCGCCACGGCGCGTGGATTTGTAGCGTTTGTTTTCTTTTGTTTGCTGGTGACTTTGTGTATTTCATATTGAAATCGCCTCCAGTGCTTTTGCTGCTGGCGGCAGTAAAAGTTGTTTAAAAGTCAAGTCTCTCCTGGTCTCCCCTGATCCCCGTGCCCCCGTTTCTGCGCGCCTTCTCCGTCCTCTACCTCTCATCTCCTACTCCTCGTCTCCCCCCCCCACCACGCATCGCATCCCCGACTCTCTCGACTCCCCCTTGCCGCGCCGTGTCGCCTCGGGAACGCGATGTGATTCGTCACGTTGTGTACGGCATGTCAAAGCGATGTCCGTCACACTTACTTAAACGTCTCATGCACATGACCGTTATCCTCAAAGTCATTATTAGCATCATGATCGCCAACATCGTCATCATCATGAAACGGCATCGACCATAATAATAATAAAGCATCGTCAATCATCATATATTAATCATCGTCGTTACTACTACCAACATCAACCCCACCGTCATTACCACCATCATTATAACCCTCCTCCTCATCATCATCATACGTCATACACATTTGTCATCATCACCATCATCAGAATCATCACCACTACCACCCACATCATAAATTATCACCATCATCAAAATGATCATCATCATCATTAATGAACAACAGCACCATCATTGACACCACGACACATTAGTGTTGGTGCTGGTGGTGGTTGTGCCTGAAGATTGGAAAGGGGTGGTGGTGGTACTGGAGGTGGTAGTTGTGGTGGTGGTGGTGTTGGTGGTGCGTGACAATGGGAAAGTGCTGTCGTGTTGATTGCGGTCGTGTTAGTGGTGCGTAACAACGGGAAAGTGCTGCTGGTGTTCGTGTTGGTAGTGGTGGTGTTGGTGTGCACACGCTACCGTGTCTGGTCCCACCGTTTGACAATGACTCCAACAATTTGGTCGAGCTGAACCCCTAATCGAAATCGAGTGGCCGGTTTGAAAGCGCCCCCCCCCCCCCTGGTGGAACAACGCGATGTCGTGTCACGCTCCACCTCACCGTGCGAGCTGCCCTGATGAGCCTGAGCACAGCTTCTCTGCAGTTGGGCTCCTCGTCGCGAGCTCTGGGCGTGAATCGCACCTCCACTCGCGGACCCGCAGGGCCTCTGACGCCGAGACCCGGGCCCACCGCGCCGTCCATCACCCCGGCCATCGCCATCGCTTCGTCGACTGGAATGCCCAGCCGCCTCCACGACCTCGCCTGCATCAGCTGCTGATGCTGCTGCTGCAGCTGTAGATGTTGCAGCTGCTTCTGCGGCTGCAGCAGCAGCTGATGATGATTGATGAGGTCTCTTTCATCCGGCCATCCGAGGTCGAGCATTGGCGGCTCCAGATCGGACATTTGCGGGAAGTAGGTGAGCGACCGCGCGTCTTCCAATGTCCTGCCCGCCTTGTCTTCGTGACCAACGTAACCGGGACGTCCCACTCCTCTCTCCTGCTGCTGTTCCTCGTCCTCATCCTGGCAATGCTGCATTGGTGACACCTCCACGCTGGCCAGGATGGCCTCCATCTCGTCGTCGTCGAGGAAGTCCTCTGCACCTTCCCGCTCCACCAGCGAGCGGTACGCGAGGATGCCTCCGCTGAGGAGGGCCTCCAGTGCCAGTCGCTGGTCTTCCCTGTACGAGTCCTCGGCTTCCCGACGAAGGACGCTCATGTGCTGAGTCCCCCAGTCCTCCAGCTGCTGAGACTGTGCGGCCATGGCTGATTGGCTGAGCCTGGGGTGGTTTGATGAAATGTCCTTCCGTGATATATAAAACAAAAAGGTGCCACCAAGTATTGGCCCAAGGGGGGGAGGGAGGGGGCTATCAAAATTGAGCGTTCGGTTTGAGAGGAGAGGTCCCCTTGTCGAAAATTTTGAGATAAAAATTGGCCGGCCAAGTTTTGGCGGACAAAATAATGACGCGGCCGCTTCGAGAGAAAGAGATTACCTCGCCTGTTGTCAAGCAATGAGGCCAACAGTTGGCAAAGCTGTTCTAGCAACCGACTCTTTAATTAAGCAATCAATGAATTAATTCACGAGTTCGGTGATCCTATGGAACGTGTACGAAAAAAAAGACGTTGGTTTAAGTAAAAGCAATGTACCAAACCGAGCACAACACGAGGTTTCCGACCACGTAACACGGCTCGGGTCCTCTGAAAATTCTAAACAAACACATCCAGGTAGATCTTTATGAAGTCGGCTTGCGCGAACGTCCGACTCGTCAGGCCACGCGCACCGGAGTAACTTCGGAGCGAGTCTGAGAGGTGATGTCACTCACGAAGCTCTCGGGAGAGTAAATTTGAGTTATTGACTCAGCGTGCGTGTCTCTCTCGTTCTCTCTCTCTCTGTGCCCTGCCCTTGCCACCCTCCCCACCCCCACCTATCTAACTCTCTAGACAGCGTGGGTACGCGAAGACTCAAACTCTCCCGGCCGCCGTCAGGCATGTGGGGACACGAGAGGCGCGGGAGGAATGCGCGCGCCACACGCACGAGTCGACGGAGAGCGGGGCGCGCGCGTTCGTAGCAAGGAATTCGAGGTGATGGCACGGGGGGGGTGGGGGAAGGTGCTGGATAGGGGAGAGAGCTTGGAGGTTCGGAGTTGAACGTTAGTGGCTAGAGGAGTCGCGATGTGTCTACGAGACCATTTTCTCTTGTCGGTATCAATATGATTTTAGATTTGAAGCTTTCGTGACTGCAAGGAATCATACTATTAGGTTTTTTCTTTACTTGATACAGCAATCGTGCTGTGACGGTTCCACCTGAAGACGGAAGCTTGTGTTGCCTCTGAAACGTCGTGATTTGTTATTGTACTTTTATTAATTTTATTTTCATTTTTTAACCGACGTGACTTTACCGAAAATACCTAAGAGTAGGTATCAAGATGGTCAATAATTGGCTTTAGCCATCCCGGCAGCAATAATGATATGTTAACATGTTCAAACACCAAATAGACCCCACCTATTGCAGGGCATTATCAAGTCTGCAATCAACACACATCATGCTCGTGATATCACATGCAAGCAAGCGCGCTTTGATAATAATGTGTGCATTGTCCTTGTAACTCATTGGCCTACACCTGGTCTCACGCCAAACGTCGAACAGCACGAAGACAACGCAGATATCGAAGAGTTATTAGCTCGGGTTGAGCAGTTATATCTACGGGACCATTTTGTGTCGGTGTCAAGATGACGATGATTAGTGGCGCCATGGTGGCGAGATGTTAACAACCTCGCCAGGTATGCGCGAGGTCATGGGTTCGATCCCGACCCTGACGCCTGTTGTGTATTTAGAGTGTGCATCTCTTCTCCCCGTGGTCACGTGGATTGTATCCGTGTCGTCTGGTCCCCCCCCCCCCGCCCCACATTTAGAATCAACATCATGCATTTAGAGTATTTGTCTGCTATACAATTTGACCAAGTCGCTTCCAAAAGAGCTATATAGTTAGTGTGCCTTACCTGGTAAAATAAAAAGTTTAGAACAGACAATATGCTTTACCCTTTCTGGCAATAATACGATACTGTACGAGATGACTCTACGGCTAACAGAAGATGCAGCCAGAACTCCGTTCCGTGTCCGCATGCAAGTGCCCGAGTCTGGAATCGAACCCGGCAGGGTCCCCAACTTGCTGAGGCACGTGTATCACCATCGCAGCGCCACCTTGAAGACGGGAAAGTCTTGCCATGTGACTTCATTCTGTTTACAGCATGGGTGGAAAAAAACCCGATTTTTCCAGCAGCAGGCATCGGGTTTTTTCTTTAATACAATTAAACCCGATTTCGGGGAATTAAAACCTGGTTTAATGAATACGAAACTCTGATCCAAAGCTTAGGCTGGTTCCTCGTCGGTGCTGCTATCGTACTCGGGGCCGTCGGGCACGGGGTAGTCGTAGAATGCGGTGGGCAGGTTGGTCTTGATGAACACGAGCTTCTCCACAATCGTGGGCGCCAGTGAGTTCCTTAGCTTGGAATGGATGAAGCTCATCGTTGAGAAGTTGGCGAAGTGCGGTTCTGCAATTAGAACCAATTAAACCGGATTTCTCCCAATCTCAGATGATCGGGTTTAATATAAAAAGACAATGAAACCCGATTGTAAAAAACCCGACTGTGCCACCCTTGGTTTACAGAATTCCCTCGACTCCTTGGGGGGGGGGGGGGGGGGGACTGAACAGGTGGCAACTCCCCACCACTACTACTCCTTGAGATTGACATGTCCGGGCTTGTTTGTGGATACATCTTCTAAAATAAATATCTGGTGGATGCGCGCAGCCATGCCCGGCTTACTCTCGTAAACACCTCCGCGTGTTCCCGCACGGCGTTTGAACAGAGGGACCCATTGTCCAACAACTGTTGCAGCTCGCTGGGCGAGCGAGAGGGAAATTTCCCACTCCAATTATCGCCATGCTGTTACTTCACAGGGATGGCATTGTCAACGATCGTCATCCCCCCCCCAGCCCATCACCCCGCACCCCGGCATTTTTAAATACACAGCAAACCCTTGCCCATCGCGGGGGTTACGTTCTTTAAATAAAATATCCGCAGTCGGCAAGTCCGTGACACGCAAAGTCGCAAGGCAAGGTTATGTTCAGGGTTCGAAATACCAAAACCCAGCCCCCCCTCCTTTTGTTTTGTGACCCTGCATCAACTCAAACATTACACAGGAAGTATATATATGCTTTGTTAACATCAATTTTTATTGTCATTCGAGAACACAGAATGCAAAGTAAATTTCTAAACACACGGGAGGCTTTTTTGTCAATAATGTAAAATATGATTGATGTTTTCTGCATGTGTCAAATGTAGCTTGTACAGTGTACAATGGCCGTGAGCGGGAATCGAACTCGGGTCGCCGGGTTCTCAGCGCAGCGCGCTAATCACTGTGCAACAATACATTAGCCAACACTCATTGTGACTTCACTATAATCACCGTTTAACTATTTAAAACAAAAATTTGTATGCGTTTTTGAACTCGGGCATAAATCAGCGAATACAAAAACATACTCCTTAGACGTGTGGATTATACAACTCAAAGGGAATTCGGAGGTAGCTCAGTGATATCCGCTTCCAAGCGACATTCAATCTCTTAACACCAAGGGGTTGCCCTGCTCTGCGAGGAGTTTCGAATGAGCGCTTCATCTCGTGATGCCAATGGCACAATCCGAATAGCGATTCTCAGCAGAAGAAATGTGCTCCGTTCACCCGAATAGCGATTCTCAGCAGAAGAAATGTGCTCCGTTCACCGTTCACCAAAATGCACTGACAAGCGTGGTGAAGTATGGTCAAACAACCGTGGCCGACACAGTGGAGGGAGGCCTTCATCCGGCAGTGTACTGACCAAACGGCTGTCCCCACACCGATGTACACACTGGCACATCCGACAACGCTGACCCGAGATCGCGCCCTTCGGTCGTGTCGTTTGTTGCTGGTCGCTCGGCGTTTCGGGGGTCTTTGGGCCCGTGCTGGGCGACTGTGGTGGTGATGATGAAAAAAAGTTTCATCCAAAATAGCGAGCGGCTTGGCGGAAGGAATCACAGCCAGCGCGCGCGGCGCCGATGTTCGCGGGGCAAACGCACGGGAACAGCTTCTTCGTCACTCTTTAATTACTTTATTGATCGCGAGCATTTCCTCCCGCGACAGCGGGGCGAGATCGAAGCCCTTTAGCTCCGGTTTTCCTGCAGAATAACGGAGCAGAGGAAAAAAAACATATATATATATAAACAAGCCGGGCGCACACAATCGCAGGACGCTCATCGCAGTGACAGCGGAATGGATTTGCGTTTGACCGAAAAAGCGCGGCACGCCGAGGCTTTGTGGCGTGCGCTTCGCGTGCCGCAATTGTCGATTTCCCGTTACTCATCCCCCGCGTGTTATTGCAGGTGGGGATGGAGTTGCGTGGTTCATGACCGCAACTTACATCTCTTCCGCCGTGATTACCCCGCTTGCAACGACTCGTCATAAAGGGTACCGCCCCCCCCACCCCCCACCAACACCGCCACCTCTACCAGGCTTGCCCAGAATCGGTGGATCGGCTGCAATCGTGCCTATAGAATCAGAATCTTTATTTGTCGTGGAGGAATCCGATGAGCCATTAAGCTCTGTTTTCACAGCTCTCCAGACACGATATGAGTGCAAGGATAGGGAAAAGGTAAGCAAGTAACTCTTCTGTTGAGCCACTGGGCCGGTTAGTCTATGACAGCCAGGCACATCGAACATTTGTAGACAATAAGGGATGGTTTCAATTAAAAAAAAAGAACAATTTTGGGTTTTTATTTTAAAAAGAGAATTACACTGCGTAATAATCATTGACATTATGCACTAATTTAAGTTGGTCCAAATTTGGCAAACTCAAAAAATTACTCGTAAATTACTCAACTGGGATTATTGGTTGCGAAAGCCTACGTGTTAAACGAACTGGGAAATACAGGCAGCAAACTACCACCCACTACGTGCAGACCAAAGCCGTGAGCCACTCTTGAAAATTAGACTAAATCCTCAACTCTTTATATGATATAAATTTGAACTTAACGTGTCTTACATCCTGACAAAAGTGACCCGGTGTCACGTGACACCACTTTTCGCCGGAAAAGCGCGGAAGAGACGTAATGCAAGTGACAATCTCCCGTGACGTCATACTTTGAGGTTGATCTTCAACGAAAAAAAAAATTGGATCGTTCGAAACCTCGTATCTAGGCTCGATGCTTTTGGAATTAATCTGTAAATCTGGAGCACGTGCCAAGTAGACACCCTTCAAAGTAAAAAAGAAAAACAATGCATCCGTCCAACCTGCACTGACCAGCGTGAAGTATGGTAAAATAACAACCCACACGCCCAACACGGTGTGTGGAGGCCTTCATACATTGTGTCCACGTGCAAAAATGTATTGGTGGGGGGAGAGGGGGGGTAAAACAGTCGTTTAGTCAGAATGTAAAACATTTACAATCCATCATTGGAACCTTATTTGCCAGTAGAAAAATATGGTGTCATTTGGTCCAACACCATGTGAGAATAGGCTCTAAAGAAAGCTGTCTCGGGTGTGGACCAATCAATTTCAAGGACAGTGCATACATTATCAGAGTTATGTTTTTTGTTGGCATTCCGACTGCAGGTATTGTGGTCAATGACTCCTTGTAAAAAAGGTGTCAGTTTTGTTGCCAGATAAAAGGGTAAAAAAACTATTATTTACAATCCATGTTCTGAATAAAACAACTGTAACAATAGAATAAATCAAGACATGCTTAATAAAAATGTTGGAGAGGCGGTGCGGTGTTGAGTAAAATTGCGCTAAAAACTTGGTGACCCCAAGTTTGATATTTTTCACCACGGCTGATGGCAGTGGTCAGATGCCCCTACTAGACATCTTGTGAAAAGGAGCTTTATAGCTTATCGGATTCCTCCAATATAAATATTAATATTCGAACTGGTCCCCCGAGCCTCCCGCCGTCGGTCAACTCGTACCGACCTACGCGGACAAAATTGTCCTCGACGCCCGTGCGCGACCAACACAGAAAAGCCTGGGACAGGGCTTTCGTCCGGCAGTGGATTGGCAACGGGTTGTACATTTTGCACGGTGACTCAAACTCCCGGGGACCATTATCCTGATCAGACGCCCGGTCGCCTGATGGCAGCTCAGTCCAACCGTGAAGACGCGAGGTGCGTGGAGGAGCGAGGAAAAAGGTCAGACGCGGCGCTTATATTGCGGCCTCTTTTAATGAGAATCAACGCTCATGCGACAAACGCTCCGCGCTTTGGTCAATTGAGAGATGCGGTGGTTGCCATGATGGGGGATTATACCAAGATATATCTATCGTACGATACTGCAAAGGTTAAAGGCGCAGCCCTGTAAAGTCTTTCTCGCGCTGTTGCTGGCGGAAGGGCCTCCACTAGAGCCCCACGAAGTTGGTACCACCCAAGGGAGCAAAACGTTAATAGTACCGAATGATTTATACGGCTTTTACGAGTCAACTATTATTTCATAGCCCACCCATTTCGATTGGTTATAATTCACCGTTTGTGGCGACCACGAGAAATTGTAACCACTGAAGTGATGGTAACTGACATGTAAATTATCTGGTCTGGGCTCAACGGACTGTACAGAGGATATACTTGGCCTACTCTTTCACAACAGCTATATGGGAAACCAATAACGCGGAAATGAACATCGTTTCATTAAAATAACATCGCGGCTACCCGAACAAGTGGGCCCGTGACCTTCTCACCTTGTGCCTCGTTCAGACGATTCATCTTCACCTTCAGCTCCCTGCGGATCCTTGTCATCTCCGTCTCCAGCTGCTCTTGATCTGAAGTTCAGACACGGGGTCGACAGGATCTCTTCAAGCATCCAGTGTACGAGGGTACAGCAAGCGGTGTTGGTTCGTTTATTTTTGTCAAGCTAAAGGATTCCCAAAGATATTCCCCCACCCCACCGCTGATCGTGATATCGGTATCATGCCTCAAGACAAATATTCCATTAACACGGTTGGCTACGTACAGTGCAAAAGAAGTTCAACATACATATATCTCTCGGAAAGCAGCGAGAACTTTCGTGTCAGGGAACGGTCCACAGAAGCTGATATTAGAGAGCTACCTCTGAGATCGCTTTCAAATCACCTTTGTTTTACATGGAAGTGGGAAAGCATTTTCATAAAAATACTCCTGAAGAAGATCTCTCATGGTCCACCCTAAAGTACATCCGCACAAACCATGGCATGATGCACAAAGGACACATTTTTTAATCTCCAGTTTGCGATTTTGGTCTTCCAGAATAGATTGTACAACATATTCTTGGTTCTTTCGGTAAAGTCACATAGAACCAAAATTTCTTGCTGTGGTTTTCCCACCTGATGATGATTGCTTGTGTTGCAATCGAAACGTCGTGATAATTTTATTGTTTAATTTTTATTATTTTATTATTTCCCTTCTACGTGACTTTACCGAAAGAACCAAGAATATGAATCCCTGCAGTCACGAAAGCTTTAAATCGAAATTTAGACCGTACAACGTATAACGACGCAATTCCCGATCCACAAATACGAAGGAGACATCACTGTGATGATACCAACTCCGCTGCTCCTGAAGCCGTTGTCTGGCTTGACCACCTGAATGTGAATTTGTAGTCGTTGCTCCGCATCTACATCGGCAGCCATACGAAACAAGAAGCGTGGAACCGAATTTCCCATGGTGATTTTTTTTGTCATGCAGTCATTGGCGACTGGGATGTGGCTCATGAATCACTGCACACTTGAGAACCCGGTTTAATAACAGGCAGCTGCCTGGATTCGAACCCAGATTCTCAGCAGCACCGGCTCAGCGCTCTGACCTACGAGACACCCGGCCTCCTCCGATCGGTGATTTAAAACTCAAACGCGACGACGCGTGTAATTGTGTGGAGTGCGATTGTGCGGCAAAATATTTACCATTTTTTATCATCTGTCTTGTTTTCGATCGGGGTATTTTGATGAACATATTTCCAAAACAGACCCAGGTTTTTTCTAAAAAAAAAAAAAATCAAACACAACCATTTTCAAATTTCACAACTCAAAAAAGTCTTCAGACAATGAATACGCGAGTTCGTATTTTGACGGAGGAGACGTGGAAAGGTGTCGGCTTACAAAAGGGATGAATTCTTCAAATAAACACGGGTAAAACAACATTTCATGAAGAGGAATGGATTTACCCATTCATTTAATAGGAAAAATGAGACGTGTTTGGACAGTCATTCCAACGCTACTCATGGTCGGAGTTTTATTATTCCCTTCTAAATAATAAGCTAATACTTAAGCGGGCTTTACCTGATGACGATCACTTATGTTGTGATCAAAACGTCGTAGTTTTTATTTTATATTAATTTGAACCTATCTACGTGACTTTACCGAAAGATCCAAAGAATAAGATAAAATAGTTTAGTTTTATTCGTATATTTTCTTAAGCGATTTGTTTACTGCTTCTATACTTTGCACTCCAATCGTGTGTTTGTACTATTTGTTGTTGCAACGTTCTGACCCATGCCCCGACTGGACATCTGTGAAAAAGAGCTTCATAGCGCATCGGATTCCTTCAGTTTAAATCAATATTCTAATTCTGAAAAACAACATTTTGGAGTCTCTGTACCCGCAGCTGCGCCCCCTTGCACGGCACGAAGAGCCTCTCTGTTGCTGTTCCTCTTCCTGTCCAAGTCGACCATCTGCAGGGAACGAGGGGACGAGATCGGCGTTACAACTGAGATCCAACTCAGTCACACCACCAAACACCTCCAACTATCAACCCTGCACCTCCAGAGCCGCATACGGCTCTTTGGCTGCCCCCTTGCGGGCGGGCGGCCGTTTTTTTAAAGATTATTTTTTATTTTAATAGGTTATTTACACTCTAAAGCAGTGGTTGTTCTTAACCTGGGGTGCACGCTCCCCCTGGGGGTGCGAGACATGGCCAGATTTTTATTAGAAGGTAAATAATCAAAACACAAATTAAGCACGGACACATGAGTACAACTACTTTGTTTCATCAAACCTATGTATTGAATTACCATACATTTTTTTAACCATTGAGAACCAAAGGGCTACAAGGCTGCAGTAAAGGTTAAAATCCACTGCTCGAGAATGTGTTTTTGTACACGAAGACGTATAGTGAAACGCAATCCTTATCGGTAAAGTCACGTAGGTATAGAATAAAACAAATCACGACGTTTCTGGCGCAACACAAGTGTCCGTCATCGGGTGAGAAAACATGACGGACGCTTGTGTTGCGCGCACGAAACGTCGTGATTTATTTTTATTTTCTACTCTACGCGACTTTACCGAAAGAACCAAAGGGTATGGATTCCTGCAGTCACGAAAGCTTCAACTCAAGATACAATCCTTATCCATAAAGAAATTGACAGGCTACATGCCAAAGGGAGGTGGACACCACACCGGGGAATTGCAGGCATGAGACTCCCGACTTGTGCTGCTGCCTGTGAATGTTAATAGCACCACTAAGGAGTAGACAAATCAACCCGCTCGCGGATGCATCATACCTGTCAACCCCTTATACATACACAAACACATTCCTGCGGAGGGAGCTGGTAGGAACGTTGGGTTGCTCGGTCAATGGCCAGGGTCAACGGTGGCGTGGTGTATTCCGCAAATATGCCAGACTGTGAGGGCGGGCACAAGCCGGCGTGAGTAGGTTAAACGTTGAGTTTTATAAGGGCACCACGGGGTGACCAGCCCCTCCCCACCCAGCCCCACCCCTCCCATCAGAGTGCAGCGCCACATTAAATACGCACTACAATGATAATAGTTGAAAGCGATTTGAAGCATGTTTTATATATATATTTGGGGGGGGGGGGGGGGGAGAGCTTTGTGACGTCATATTTGAGGGGGGGGGGCCTGACTTTTTGTGACGCCGTGTGACAAGGGGGGGGGTCAAAAATCGTCCAAAATCGCGTGACGTCATTTATGGACGGACCCTAATGTGGACCACGTGAGGCCGAACACTTTTAAGGCAGCCCTCCTGCCACATCACAAATCGAACAGAGTTCCTTGCCATTGTTTATTTTCTTCCCCTCTTTGCTATGAACGTAACACGCCTGTCGCATTTAAACATCGTAGCGCGCCCTTTGGCAATGTCTAGGTGACGTTTTGTGGAACCACCACCACGATCACCATCATCACCATCATTAGCCGTGTTCAATCCATTGCTGGATGAGAGGCTTCGCGTTTGTAAAATTAAAACGCAGCATGTTCGCTGCGGCCTTGAGATGGAACTACGTGTGGGCGACGTTTCGGGCAATTACCCTTCACAACACACGTGCGTTTATAACACTGGTCAACACATTTTTCTGGCATAAGGTATTCCAACGGTTTTAAGGTAATTTTGGGGTGCTGATTCCAAATCTGGCATCAGTTTTTGTCTATCACATCAGGTTTTTGAGATATAAAATATTGCATTTCCAATAAAAACTGCAGAAGAAAAATATTAAATAAATGCGGATATCTACATAAAATGATATTATAAACACACTATCCTAAAAATACAGCACCATATTTTAACACTAAAGCAGTCACTGACTCGCAACAACTTGCAATCATAAGTGACAGAGTTAATTTCGGGTAAAATCAATGAAAATGGGACATGCCGATAGCATAAAAATGAGATGTGATAGAGCAAATCTGAGATCAGATTTGGAATAAGCACCCTGCAATTAGTCTAGAACAGCTGCAAAAGTCCAGGCCAGAAAAAAATGTTTGTTTGTTGACCAGTGTAATGCTGCAGTACAGTACATGATTATCATACGGACCTGGTGTTTATCCGCCAGCAAATCCTCGGCCAAGGTCTCCACCTCCGTGAGGTACGTGATCAAGAACTGCGCGTCGGCGGTCATCCTCGTCGCCGTCAAAAGTTATCCACAAGCACGGGAACTTCGAATCTCGAACAAGCACGGATCGATATCTGCTGCTTCGTGTCAAACGCGCACGTGGCCCGAGGACATTGACGCACCGCACCAGACGTCGGTGAGAGAGAATAGAGGAGGAACGTGCGTCTTATAATCCAGGGTACAACGGCGTGGTCGTTAATGATGATGAAGCTGCTGAAAGCGAAAGTAAAGAGAGATTCTAAAAAACTAGTGTCAAAGCGAGCAGGCCGCGATTGCCAGGGGCAGCTATGAGCTAGGACCCCCCCCACCGTGCGTTGAGTCGTGACGTCAGCGTTTACATGACGTCATTTGTGAGCGTTGAACGTGGGGGGGAGGGGGTCATGAGAATGATGACGTCATTGCGTGTTTTTGTTGAACTTTCGCACCTGTACGTGGGACAATCGTGCTCATGAGATGTGCGGCGAAAGCACAAAACGTCATTAAAAAGTGAACACGGTGTGGCTTTAGCGGTGCTCTGAAGAAGGGTCATTGCCTCAAACGTCAGCTATTTTTTTTGTTAAGGCAGCGTTATTGACCGCTTAGTTTTATATTTGTTTCAGGACGTCACAGTTTACGCACGGACATGCTGCTGGTTTGTATGATGACGTTTTTCAAATGGTGAACGTCATTGCTGATCGCACTCTGGCCATTCGCTAGTTACATGACGTCATTAACACAGTGACGTTGAACATGTCCGGAAATTCAGTGACGTCATAACGGTGGTGAAGTGACGATTCGCAATACGAGAGACGAACTTGCGATGCTGGTATCGATTGGCACTGTTCACAGTGTAAACATCAATTGTTTAACTCTCTGTTATAATTTTTTTACTAAAACTTTTTATTGTTTTTTATTGTTTTATATTTGTATTATTTTATTAATTCCCTTCTACGTGACTTTACCGAAAGAACCAAGAATATGAATCTCTGTTACCAGTTATTCGCACCTCCTATTAGCATGGTTGGCTACGTACGGTACGAAAGAAGTTAAACATACATGCAAAAAAAAACAATCCACCAAATGTAGAAGTAGAAAAAAATCTAACGATTAAAAACAAATATTAATTTATATAAATCGTCATACGCTTGTTATTCAAAGTAAGATAATCGATTCCAAGCTTTGAATTGAAGAATCGCGAAAGTACGGATCGTTAGAATATTTCGCCAACTGTCCACATTACCGTGAAGAATCGATTCCAAAATAACGATTCTACGGGAATCGATTCCGTGTCATGCAAAAAGTCGGTGGCAGAGCTGGCAGCTACGAAATGGCCTTGCAGTGTCCCGTGTGTGGCGTCCCCATCGCTCCAGATCTCATCAACAACCACCTCGACAGCTGCCTTGCGCTCCCTCCCGAAGACAACGACGATGACGCCAATGTTGACGATCTACCACCAACACCACCAACACCACAGTCTACACCATCCTCGTCACTGACCCCACAGTCCAAAAGACTTCGAACGGTGAGTCCTCGCCCCGGGTCCTGGACCTCACCCTCCTCTCAGTTGAGAGCTACCGGGGGCGATGCTGGTGCTGGTGGTGCTGGTGCTGGTCCCGTGGCCTCATTTCCACTCTTCAGTCAGAAGCAAAGATCTCAGGAGACGCTGGGACGTGGTGGTCGGAGCAGCGGTGGTGCGACCCGGGCAGGGCACGCGGTGGGGTCGGCTGCGTTTGGGACGACGAAGCCGGCCAGGGCTTCTGTGATGCGTTCGTCATCGGCAGCAGCATTCGCTGCGATAACATCATCAGGATCAGCAGCAGCAAATGTTAAAACACTAGCATCGCCATCACTGCAATCGGATATTATTAATCCGTCAGGACATGCGTTTGCTTCATCGCCACCGTCATCACCACCAACACCATCACCGTCAAAGTTCAACCCACGACCACCGGCGTCACCCTCGTGGTTCGCGAAGCCTGCAGCCTCGTTAACCGCGGGCTCCACGACCCCCAAATCCACCCGACTCGACTGCCGACCTCTGGCGGAGAGGATGCGACCCGACACGCTGGAGGATCTGGTCGGGCAGGCCGAGGCGATCGGAGAGAAGACGCTCATGCGGACCCTGCTGGAGGCCAACGACGTCCCCTCCATCATCCTGTGGGGTCCGCCCGGCTGCGGCAAGGTGAGCCCCCCCCCCCAGCACCCACTTCCACCTTCAGTTTCACTTATTTGGTAGAGCCCTGTGAGCCATTCGGCTCTTGAATCGGGTGCAAGCGCAACAAACAAACAACATGAACAAGAAAACATCTTAAAGTGATTATGCACAAACTGAAAAATCCAGGAAAAAACTGCAAAGTCTTCCAGAAAAAAGCACCACGAACGTGTTGACCCGGTGCGAGAGAGACTGTGATGTCTGACCTGCGTGGAACTTCTTTAGCACCCTACGTAGGCAGCCAGCTCTGGAGGTGCGAGTGGACAACACGTGTTCAGTGGGGACTGTGCGCGTGTGTGTGTGTGTAACATCTCTTTACACGATAGTCACCGCGTATTTGTTTAATGTAACTTACATTGTACTTGTACTATTATCAGTGTTAACATGATGTTGCCCGAGTCGATTTTGGCTTATATGGAATGCATTGCTTAAAAGTGTTTAGATTTAGTTCAATGTTTTCTATTGCTCATATTCACTCAGCAGTTGGTTTTGCGCTGATTTCTATTCGCTTCATTGCTGTACGTTTATCGTGACCTGGGTCGCTTTTGCAAATGGCACTCGGTTGTTGCCCCTTAAGTTATCATCATCCGGGTAAACAATGAAACTGAATCTTCTTGGTTCTTTTGGTAAAGTCACGTAGAATGGAAATAATAAAATAAAAAAAATAAAACATAACAAAATAATTCTCACCAAAATGAAACTGAACAAAATGTCATGGCCGGGATCAACCCACAGTCAGGCCGCCACATTCAAAAATACATTCTCAAGAGATGTGAAACGTAACGAGTAACTGCGATCTACATTCTACGTTTGCAAATTAAGTCTCCGTTATGATGGTGTAGTAAGTGGATATCAAATGTACTCAACTGTAAAACAAAACAAAACTTTTTCATTTTACCACCAGGTGAGGCCCACTTAGCTATACAACTCTTTTTCAGAAGCGACCAGGCCACATGATAGCTGAACGAAGTGGCTTATCACGTGGAAATGTATAGCAGCCAAATACTCTAAACGCACGATGATTCTAAATGTTTAGGGAAAATCCGGAGGACCCGGAGAAAAATCCACACGACCAAGGGGAGAGAGAAAGACACGCAAACTCCAAATATACAACAGGCGTCAGGGTCGGGATCGAACTCACGACCTCTTGTGTACCAGGCGAGGCAGTTAACATCTCGCCACCACGGCGTCCTAATTGCCCCCCCCCTCACCGTGCCCCGCATCGACACGCAGACGTCACTGGCGCACGTCATCGCGGCCTCTTCGCGCAGGAGCGGCCGCACGCGCTTCGTGACGCTGTCGGCCACCAACGCCTCCACGGCGGACGTGCGGGAAGCCATCCGGCAGGCGCAGAACGACTTGCGGCTTGCGCAGAGACGGACCATCCTCTTCATCGACGAGATCCACCGCTTCAACAAGAGCCAGCAGGTGGGGAGGCGATGTATGGCGTGACCAACCCGCACTGACCAACGTGGTGAAGTATGATTATTAACAAAAACCATGACCAACATGGCAATGGGGAAGGCCTTACTCCATTGGTGTATTTATAATGCCTGGAATGTTGAATTGGGGTGCTGTGGTGGCGAGATGTTAACTACATCGCCTGGTATACAGGAGGTCGTGGGTTAATTTCCTACCCTGATGGCTGCTGTATATTTGGAGTTTGCATGTTCTCCCAGTGGTTGTGAATTTTTATCCGGGTCCTCTGGTTTTTCCCTCCACATTTAGAATCAACGTACGTTTTAGAGTATTAGGCTGCTGTGATGCCCAGGTCGCTTCTGAAAAACAACTTCAGCTCAGTGGGCCTTACCTGGTAAAATAACATTTATTTTGTTCAGTATTAGTTTAACGTATACGACTTCAAACGGTGGTGTTGGCTCTTGATCGTCGTCCGTCGCACGCCCTGCCCAGGACACGTTCCTGCCGCATGTGGAGAGCGGTGTCATCACCCTGTTGGGCGCCACCACGGAGAACCCGTCCTTCCAGGTGAACGCGGCGCTGCTCAGCCGCTGCCGCGTGGTCGTGCTGCGCAAGCTCTCGCCCGAGCACCTGCGGCATATCTTGATTCGTGCGCTGCCTCAACTTGGGGCCAGTATCCTGCACGGGCAGCAGCAGCAACAGCAGCAGCAGCTCGCGGACGTGGGGCAGCCCGGTCTTCCCAACGGCGCCCAGTAAGGCGGATTGTTAATGCTTCACAGCTAATATTGACGGCTTAGATTTGAATTATCATCCAGCCCCCTTGATTAAAATGTATAATGTCAACTTCATTCGGGTGTGACTGCACGTGTCTAAACCGGACCTTTGGTGAACCAGTGGTGGCTTCTCAACGTTGCTGCCATCATACAGTCTGCCAGCCGTTGCTAGTGTTGTCATGAACGTCGTTGTGCATGCTAGCTGCCGCTGCTGCTGTTGCTGAACATGCTACTTAGTCTACAGCAGCAAGCATTTTATACAGAGTTCTAATCGGAGACGAGATGTGATGCAAGTCGCCCCGGCGTAAAGGGCGCCACATCAAAAACAAATCATGATTACAGTAATACCCCGATTTAAGTCTCCCCCTTTTTGGGTCGTTTCGCAAATACGTCGACACTTTATTACTACTACTACTACCTGATTTGCATCTCCTCAACCCACACGTCGCTGACAGCATCATCTGTCCTTACTCGTATCCATCGCCTCTTGGCCTCGGCCTCTACCATACCCTCTACACAAACCACTTTGCATACAATACATCATTTTCGTACGGTATTTTGGTTATTTGAGAAAATTGCTGCGATGGACGTTTCGATATTTGACGGTGCAGCTTTCAGGAACGCATCCTCCCCCGCCCCGATGTAAACCGGGGGGGGGTGGGGTATTGACGCGTTTGCGTTGTTAGGCCGGTGGCCGTGATGGTGGAGGAGAAGGCGCTGGACACTATCTCCTTGCTGGTGGACGGTGACGCTCGTGCGGCGCTCAACGGCCTGCAGATGGCCGTGCAGGCGGTGCTGGCATCGTCGGCGGCAGTGTCGTCGTCGCAGGGGGACACTGCAGGAGGCCCCCTTCCGATCGTCACGGAGGCCCACATCAAGGAAGGCCTACAGCGCTCGCACCTGCTCTACGACCGAGCTGGTGATTATGGCGGTGGCGGCGACGATGATGATGATTGCGATAAGGGGTGGGGGAGGGGGGTAACTCGGCTATATAGCTCATTTTCAGAAGCAACCCGGCCACAAATTTATAGCAGCCACATACTCGAAAAGCATGTTTCTAAATTTGGAGGGAAAACTAGACGACCAGGAAAAAAATCTACATGACCACGCGAAGAAGATGCAAACTCCAAATATACAGATGTCAGGGTCGGGATCGAATCCACGACCTGCTGTATACCAGGCAACGTAGTTAACACCTCGCCATCATCTGTCTGCACGCTATCCGATCTGTCCCATCCCCCGCCCCAGGGGAGGAGCACTACAACTGCGTCTCGGCGCTGCACAAGTCACTGCGCGGATCGGACGCCAGTGCCGGCCTCTACTGGCTGGCGCGCATGCTGGAGGGCGGCGAGGACCCGCTGTACGTGGCCAGGAGGCTTGTGCGTTTCGCCAGCGAGGACGTGGGTATGCATGGGGCACGGGTACACGCGAGACAAAGATCCTCCGTATAGCCTGAATAGACCTTGGGGGTGAGTGCTGCACTCGAATAAATTTGTTGTCGTGATGTGGCATGCGATATCACATTCTTGTGGGCCCCGCGTTCCAGGACTCCCATCAACAAACGCCTAGGCACGACGGTGTTACTTTATTTTCCGCCAAAAGAACCGTGACATTGTTGACTGTCGTGGTTAAATATTACATTTCTTTGGACTGTGTGGTTTTGCTTTATGTTGCTTGACTGCTAATCAGCATCGTGTCCTCCACCCACCCTGCACCCCCACCCCTTCTGCCCTCCTCCACCCACCCTGCGCCCCCCCACCCCTTCCGCCCTCCTCCACCCACCCTGCGCCCCCTCCCAACCCCTAGGTCTGGCCGACCCACTTGCACTCCCCCAGGCAGTCGCTGCCTACCAGTCCTGCCACTTCATCGGGATGCCCGAGTGTGAGGTGGTTATTTTAATTCAACCTTTGCGCAGTGGGAGGTCGCTCAAACTCTTGTGCTGCCCCCTTGCCCACGCAATGCCCTACTAAAGAATAATGTTTGTCACGTGGCAGGCGAACCAATATTCGACATCGCAAAAGCTACAATTTAGCCAAATTCAGTTAAAAACGAAACTTGATGTGTTTTTTTTTTTATATACAATCATGAGTGACCAGGCTGAGACCGTGAACGCCACTACAAATGGGAACCGAGTTACATCACGGGGGGTTTGGGGTTATAATCCAGAATAAAACCCAGCATCTCAGTGTTGCTGGCTCGGTGCCACCTGGCCACTTTTATGCTTCTAGTTGGCAGCCCTCCCCTACATCCCACTTGTAGGAGGGGGCTGCCCACTAAATTTGCTTGCCACTCGCATTACGTTCAACTCACCATCACCCTACATTGACCACTCGACTGACATGACTTGCCAGCCACTGACTCACATGACCTTTGGCATTAACCACTTAATATTTATGCGATTGTACAGTATAATGGAAAGCCCACTGTGATTCAAATAACAAAATAAATAAGCAGACAATACATATCCTGAACATATTCCTGTCTCTACATGAAAATCAAAAGTATAACTTATGCAACCCGTCAGCCGCACGGCTTTCTGGCAGCACATAATTAGAGATGCCAATGCTCCCCCACCCCGTCCACCTCCAACATTCCTCCCCAATGGCACGCGGTTATCAATGGTATGATTCTTCTTGGTTCTTTCGGTAAAGTCGCGTAGAAGGGAAATAATAAAAAAATAAAAATTTAACATCATAAAATATAAATTCTCACGACGTTTCGGCCACAAAACAAGCAGCCGTCCTCAGGTGAAGAAACAGCTGTCAGAAAGACAGCGTTCTAATGAACACCGCCAAGCTTGGCAGCGTATATTTAAGCTGGGTCGGGGGGAGGAGAGCGCCTTGACAAAGGAGTTTACATATCAACACCGGAATTTAGCATATTGATGGAAAATGGTATGATTAATAAATGGGGCCACATCACGCGGCAGACTGTTGTAAATTGTAGAGCGGATAAGTAGCACAATGGTCCATAAGCTTGAATTATGACGTTAAAGGTTATTAATATATAATGAGCATTCTAACATGGATATTTTTACGTATTCACTGCCTCCCCTCCTGACCTCTACCCTCCCAACCGAAACTGAACTATTTTATTTACCAGGTTAGCTCTTGTTCAGAGGTGACCTGGCCATACATTGAAGTGGCTTTTCACACGTGGGAAAGTATAGTAGCAGCCGAATAACCTAAACGCGCATTGTTTCTAATTGTTGAGGAGGGGGGGCAAAACCGGAAGGAACCCGGAGAATAATCCACACAACCATCACAGGGAGAGGGAGAGAGAGAACACACTATATATTAACTAACTTTTTATCTTAGCTGGTAATGCCTACTGAGCTATATAGCACTGTTTCAGAAGTGACCTGGCCGCAAATGAAAGCTCAACGTAGTGGCTATTGTGGAAATTTATAGCAGCAAAATACTCTAAACACACGGTTCTAAATGTGGAGGGGAAAAACCGGAGGACCCGGAGAAAAATCCACACGACCACGGGGAGATATACAACAGGCATCGGTCGGGGTCACGGGATCAAACCCACGACCTGCGCGTGTACACCAAGCGAGGCGAGATAACATTTCCTCTCCAACCGTGACGCCCCCCCACCCCCCCCTTCTCATCCCTGCCACAGGTGATCCTCGCGCAGTGCGCCACGTACCTGGCCCGCGCTCCCAAATCGGTGGAGGTGTACGCGGCCTACAACCGGGCCAAGACAAGCGTGCGGTGCCATCGTGGCCCGCTACCGTCGGTCCCTCTGCACCTGCGCAACGCCCCCACGGGGCTCATGCGCAACCTGGGTTACGGGCGCGGGTACAAGTACAACCCGGCCTTCGACGCGCCCGTTCAGCAGGAGTACTTGCCAGAAGAGCTGCGAGGCACCGACTTTTTCAAGCCTGCCTGAGCACGGCGACGATCTAAAAACAATCTGAAAGCCGTCGCTGCAGCGGCGGTGGCAGTGTAGGGTTGTTTCCGCTTCGATTGCTCGGCCAGAGGTGTGAAAGTGCTGCCCCCACTCCCCCCCCTACTATGTGGGGGTGGGGAGTGAAGGGATCTCGGAGGTACCTCGGTGGTGTCTGCTTCTGTGGGCCGTTCGTGCACTGCTCTGCGAGAGCTCTACATGGGTTACTTCGTCTCGTGACGTGATGCCAATAGCGCAATCGGGATAAAATTGACGAGAAGCATGCAAAGTGAGTCACGATCGTGAATATGTAGCACCTTTTTGGAAATGGTTCCGTTAAGAATTTGGTGGACAGTTCCTTTTTGTAAACGTACGAATTAGGCCCCAATGTATGTTGGGGCAAGGGGTGTTACGCTGAGGCTTTCAAACTAAGAATTTATGTGAAATATTAATACTGATTTGCCTTATAGGAACGTAATGGTTCGCCCCCTCACGATTAAACAAGGTGTCACAATTCATGGTTCCCAACTCATCTGTCGGCTAAAGAAATAAAAGCATCTCTTTTTCCGACTATGGTGGATTTAGGATATATATCAACCACAGGGTGCATAATATCACCGATGATATAGCCTCCGCTGGATGAAGGTTTTCTCAGGTCGACATCTCTTGTGTTCTCACGCAATGCAACAATCCATCCAGCACCGGCGCTTGCCCTGATTCCATCACTCCCATCTCCGTGGGGGACTTCGCTTGGGTGTTGCTCACTTCTTTGGCTGCCATTCCATTCTCGGTCTCGACCATCGGCCATCATCCCTTACAGCAGCATGTCCTGTCCAAGCTCACATTTCTTCACTATGTATTCTTTCTAATATTTGTTTCCTGATTCACGCGCTCCTTTTTCTGTCTTCCAGTGTAATTCCACGCACATGTCTTCCTACACTGCATTGCGCACTTCTCAGCTGTTCTCTTTTATTCGCCAATGTCCATGTTTTTTTGGATCCACACCTCCGATTAGCACGATAGGCTACGTACGGTGCAAAAGAAGTTCAACATACATGCATGTTTTACTATAAAACAGTTTTGCTGGCTGGCAGGAGGGAGGGACGGACGGACTCACTGTCTCATTCATTCGTCGTGTGTGTAAATTACAAAGTATTCAATAACACTTTGTGTGTGGCCTTTAAAGGAAAAATATTTAAAAAGCAACGTTTCGGGCAATAGCCCTTCACAGCACATAAATAGAGAGGCCAGAAAAGAAACATGACAATGATAACGTCCGCTATTGATTCAATTTGGCACTAATTGGTAGTCGGCGATTTTCTGCTCAATACATCACTCAGAAGGTGGCTTATCAGCTGAATAATACATCCCTGACCCAGTGATAGAAATTTCACATTTCTATGGAAGAGGTGAGTCTTAAGTGCATTACACAACCACTGGTTACTTACCCACAATTAACCACTTTGTTGAACTTTGGGGGATGATGTACTAAGTCAACCCTCACAACCAGGATGATAACTTGCAGTATTTCTCTTGCGAGCCACTCTGCCACTAAGCCACCTGGCAAGACTACGAATTGCAAAATGATATTTTAAAAAATACGTAATTAAATATTATATACACGTTATACAATGTCTGCTGGGCTATGGACATTAGTTTAAAGCTTCCTTAATGACAGAGCAAGATGTTAACGTTGGTCAAGTGTGTTTTTATGGCACTTGTGATGTCGCTGGGACGATTCCGATTCGAGTAATGTCCCCTCTACGAATTACTCATTACACCGCAATCATCGCCCTCGACTTGCAGACGTAATACCTGCTTGCAGGCCAGATGCCAAACACATTGCGCCACACAGGTGACAACTGCCACTCAACGGGACATTTCATTAAACATTTTTTTAGATGTTATGTAAGTTGCCTCATTGCATTGAAAATACCGAGATGTCCCGGTGTAAAGGGCGTTTCAATAACAATTACTCCGGAACCCAAGGGCTGGTGATATGAAGGCTGTAGGCAGAGGTTACGTGATGGAGCAGTAATTGTTTTGCTTCATTGTAGTATACAACTGCAGATTTGCACTTTGTTCAAATGTAGCAGCAATTATATTTAAGCTTGAGAATGCCAAATATTTTCCATTTTCACATTTCTTTTGATACATTTCATCCCCAAAAAGTGTTAAGTTATGAATGTCTATAACTTGTATATTTAATGAATTTAAAAATGTTACTGTGTTGGTCCATTTTTTCTAAACGTGTTTATGTTTCATTTGACGCGTGACATTTCAACGGAGCAAAAAACACGATAATTATTGGTCGTTGATTGGGGTCATTAATCGCACGAGCATTACCAACTTTTTAAAATATGTACACTTGGCAGTAAAACTGTATTTTTGTATATATATCCTATGCATTCCTTGTAAATTATATACCAATAAAAACAACTTTCCCATTTTCGATGACATGTTATTGTACTCGAGCAGTGTTGAGTGCATCAAAACAAGATATATAATGCTTTCCATCTTTGTTGCAAGGGATAGCTGATTTTCTTTAAATTTTCTACCATAAGACAATCCAAATTTGTTTGATCGAAAGCATTTTTTATGTCGCTGCCCCAAACTTTTGGAACCAAGTCTCTTTTCGCCTCTTGGCATCTTCATTCTGCCATCTCTGTCATTTATACCAACTACTGTATTAAACTCACAAAAGTTTAAGTGAAATTTAATTTTACGTAATTATTGTTAGGTGTTTATCTTTAAGTGTGTAATGCTGTGATGTCTGCCACAGAGTCGCCCTTGAAAAATGGCTTCTTGGCTCAATGGGCGTTCCTCAGGAAATTAACTTCTGATTCTGAATAAATTGTTTTCCTTTACCAAGGTAAGGCCCACAGCAATACAACTATTTTTCAGAAGCGACCTGGCCACAAAAGAGAGCCCAAATAAGTGGCTTATGTGGAAATTTAGAGCAGTCAAATACCCTACACGCATGTTCATTCTAAATGTGGATGGAAAAACCGGAGGACCCGGAGAAAAATCCACGCGACCACGGCGAGAGAGGCGTGCAAATATACAGCATGCGTCAACATCGGGATGGAACCCGCGACCTCCTGTATACCAGGCGAGGTAGTTAACATCTCGCCATCGCAGGAAATTGTCTTAGGGGCTGTCCATAAATGACGTCACGCACCTAGGGGGGGGGGGGGGCATCAGACATTTGTGACGATGTGTGACGGGGGGGGGGGATGAAAAATGTGACGTCACATCAAAATACGCAACTTTAAATAAATATAGACAACACGTTCTACTTAATTAAATCGACTTTTTAATGTTTTCTCCTACAACATCAGAGTGCAGCGCCACATTACATATGCACTACAATGACAATAGTTTAAAGCGATTTGAAGCATGTTTTATTTTTTTGGCGGGGGGGGGGGGGCAGAGCTTTGTGACGTCATATTTGAGGGGGGGGGGTCTGATTTTTGTGACAAGGGGGGGGGTCAAAAATCGTCCAAAATCGCGTGACGTCATATATGGACGGCCCCTAAGTTCATATGCCAAGTAAAAAAAATGGTCATCACGAAACATGTTTTTTTATGTTCTCATCGGGACCTGTGGTGTAAAATGCAATGTCCAACTCTTGTTCTCCACTCTGTCTCTGGCCTTGCTGTTGTCGAGTTGTGAAAGAAGGGCGGATGCATTGTTCTTGGCCTTGTTCTCGATGTTTGCGTCAAGACGTCACCACGTAGCTATGCATTCGAGCGTAACTTCGTTACGTAATTACGTCCTTGCCCGCGTGGGTGTGTGGGGGGAGGGGTGATATGGTGACACGACGTCACCAGGCCGGGGCGGCTTCGATCACGCCGTCTCTCGGAAATACACGAAGGCGTAGTTACGTCACGACACAAAAAACCTCAAGGTAAGTGCCGAGCGCGGTGACGTCATTGCGATGACGTCGTCGAGAGCGGGCGAGTGGGGGTGGGGGTCTAAACCTGAGCTCTCGGCCAATAAGCGCGAGGCGCGATGACGTCACCGAGAGCGGGCGAGATGGAGGTCTAAACCTGAGCGCTCAGCCAATAGGCGCGATGACGTCACCGAGAGCGGGCGAAGGGGGCGGTACTAAACCTGAGCGCTCAGCCAATAGGCGCGATGACGTCACCGAGAGCGGGCGAGGTGGGGTGGGGGTCTAAACCTGAGCTCTCGGCCAATAAGCGCGAGGCGCGATGACGTCTTTAAAATGGGGCGTGTCTTAAGCCGTTGGACGGAATCGCCCTCTGGCCCCTCCCTCCTCCCAGCCGCCGAGAGAGAGAGAGAGAGCGATCATGGCGTCTGTAGCGGACACTCGGTTGTACGATCTGCTCGGCGTGACGCCTACCGCCAACGAAGGCGACCTCAAGAAGGTGAGGAGGACTACAGTTACCCCCACGTCCGTTCGACCGGGCGGCGTCGTTGGATTCCCCTCGCCCGGCCGTCTTTTTTTTGTCTCCCGAGCGATGCGAGTCGCCGACTGTTCTAGTAAAAGTCCTTTCCTTCACATCCCCCCCAACCCTTGTCGCTCTCCCGTCGGTGAGGGAAATCGGCGCGTTGCCATTGGTCAGCGCGCGTCACGAGGGCGATATGCCTGTTCGCTATTGGCCGCGCCGCGTCACGTGACGGCGAGGTGGGGGTTGGGAGGCATTCCCCCCCCCCCCTCCCCCCTTTTCAACATGGCGAATGCCCGGCATTTGACGACAGGGAAACTAGGCGAGGGCAGGCGCTTGCGAGGAGATTAGGCCTCGCCGCGCGGGTGGTTTTAAAATTACGGATTTTTATTTAATCGAGAAATGATTGAGGTGATTAATTGAGATACGAGTGTAAGACTTTGAGTTTGTCGCTGTTAGTGTTGTCTTGTGCCAGAATTAGGGGGGTTTTCCTCGCCCATCCAATGCGGTCTTTGTGTAAAATACCGAGAATTTGTGGTACGGTATTTAAAAAAAACGACTTGTAACGTATTCCGTTTTCAAATATGTCTAGTGTCCAACGTAATGTTTAATTAATGTAGTGTTACATGTATATAGTGTCTCGACAATGTATTTAGAATCGCACGCTCTTGAAGGATTTTCAGAGTAACGCAAGACCACACTTTGTCAATCCACTGCTGGATGAAGGCATCCAAGCGCCGTGGTTGGTAATGGTGATTGTTTGACCATACTTCACCCGACTGGTCAATGTGGTTGGGGGGGAGGGGATGCAGAACCGGTTCAGAAATCACTCGCCACTGGACGGCACCATCACGATATAATTCACAACACATGTATAATATTTTATTTTATAGTAGGTTGCTTTTGCAATACCATGGTGATTTGTATAGGGTGCTTAAACGGGAAATGAAAGCGTGTGTATTGTGACGCAAGTTCAATTTTCACCATCTCTTGAGGCAATGGGGGGGGTTATCTAGTTTTCCAGAATAACAAACTCGCGTTAAACCAAAAATGTGTATCTGTCATGGTACATGGTGTCCCTTGAATTGAGTGATTGAAAATTAGACATTAAGATATACCCCTGCCTTAATTTCTGTAGCCGCATGTCTCTTGTTCCGGCTATTGTAATGTTCTAATCATCTCCAGGCACACCGCGTTCTCTGTGTGGCATATACGTAACCGCAAGACAACCATAGCCAACGATGACTCATAAGGAAGCTGAGAGCACAGAATACAAATGCTAAATGCAGATCATTCCTCCAATAAAATAATGGATAAGACTGTCGTGCCCCGCATATTTGTTGTTTTTAGAAACAGTCTTATGTATCCAACTCCATAAAGCTGAACCATAACCCAACACTTAAACCCAATCACCTAACCTTGAACCCTAAGACGATTAGCCCAAACTCCTAACCCTGAAGCCTAAAACCCATACAACCTTAAGACGAACCGTAAAAAAAAACCCTCACTGAACATTCACTCCGAAGCCCGGACCACTTAAACCAGAATCCCTTAACCATACTTGAAATTTAAATACTAGGCTTTCTTTTGTATTTCCATCGACTAAAACCAGAGTAAGGTCTGCGAATGGTCGAATGTATGGTCGATGTTTGGATAAATATATATTTAGGGGCGGTAGTCACTTGATGAAACGATACCGTTTAGAACTGGTGAAGAATACGGATGGTATTGCAACACAGTTTTCGGTCCATTGCCAAAGGGATACTTAATAACCTTACCATATTTATTTGAGATTATACGGCAGTATCTGAAGACTGAAAGGACACGTGTCCTTGCGATATACGTGTACAACCATTTTGTAATCCACTGCTGGATGAGAGGGCCTCCCCCACACTGGGTCGGGTTGGGAGGGGGACCGTACTTTGTGGTGAAGGTGGAGAAAACATCGACGTGGGATCACAGTAAAGGTCAAACAATGGAATTTCACGAAACGTCGTGATTTAATTTTATACCTACGTGACTTTACCGAAAGAACCAAAGACAATAGAATGTGATTCACTACTCTCTGCTGCCCACCCCCATTGTTCTGCAGTACCCCTTAGAAACCTGTTGTTATGCAGCATCGTACCTGCACAATGAGATCGGGTGAATCTCATGTGATTTTGCGATACATAAGCAATGTATTCATAATGTATGTAAAGAGCACAGTATATCATCTCAAGGATGGGTAGTGGGGGGGGTAAAACCGGGTTAAAGATGAAATAAGGTATCATTATATTTCTCAGTCTCCCACCAGTTTATGGGGTCTGAACAGCACATGTGCACCTCTGTCGGTGTTGCAATGCGTTTGCATTCCCCGTGTGCTCTGCGTTCCACGGCAAGTGAAATGCGCTCTTTGTTTGGCCTAGACCTGCCCTTACTGTTGCCGTGGTTTGATGAAGGGCCGTGGCATAGTTTTGTTGGCGTGGTTGTATTATTTCAGCGTGGGTGACTGACGGCTTCCTGGATACAATGCTTGCATTTTATCTAAAGTAACGTGTTTTTCTTTTTTAAATCACCCACCCCCGAGTACATTTCAGTTGTGGTATGTCATGAGATGGAGATTTCTCCATTGCCCTGTGTCATATAATGGCCCCGGAAGATGATGTTACAAACGTAGTTTTAAGATCACTTTTAACTTGGCCTCGTCAAGTCATGTTTTGTATATGCCCTGGCGGAAAATGTTAATTTCATATCACTGAAACCAAACTTGTGAAGTTGGTGACTGGGCAGTGAACATCAATTCGCTTTCAATTCATAACCTAGTTTAACCATAATTCAGTCCACGCGAGTCTGTCTCTGCGAGACTTGGCTGAGATAATAAAATCACTTGCACTAAGGAGCCCAGATTAATCATCGGTTTCTTCCTGGATTTTAACCAAGTGTTCTAAGCTCATTACATGGAATTGAATTTGAGCCACCTCAGGTTACCTTAACTTGAGCAGAGGCCACAGCACATACCTCACCATAAAAAAGGTAGGTTTTGTCCTCAAACAGGAGAATGTCGTCAAGGGTTGGATGAACAGGAGATGTGTTAGGGCAGTGGTCTTCATTAATTTTCGCCAATAACACATGTGTGAGGGCCATCACACTTTAAACCATTGGGTTTGACAGCATTTCGTATTTTTGGGAACTGCACGTCAGGTGCCACACTAAAGTAATACCAGAGCCTGCCAGTTGCCCGCGGGGTTTGCAATGAAGAACACTTTGTTAGGGTGAATGTTTTGTTAAGAATGCAAGAGGTGAGGAAATGTGGAGCCACAGGCTGAATGTAAAGAGGTATCAATTCGGTTTCCCACGCAAATGAGAATGGAACAGTGCTCATTTGTTTACATTGCTGATCCAGTGGTGGAATCTATTCATAGTCTAACCATTTCCCTTTCCATTGCCTTACCACATGTTATTGAAAACTTGTTTCGAGCGTCCAGTGAAGCTCATGTTGCGTGCATATGTTTAGCATAATGCGAAACATACCGAGTCTAAAGACTCTTTGAGGGTCCTGCATTTGGTTATTTGGCCAATTCTTTTGTAAGAAACCAGGTTTTCCAGAGTAAACCGACACAGTTGAGAGGGTAAACAATCTTTATTGTTAGGTCCTGGTGGCTAATTCTTCAGTGCAGTGGTTAATTTGACTTATTCTTATTTACATTGGTAGCTTGGTTGAATAGACAACGTATATCCTTTTCACAACATTCACTGGACACTATTGATTCTAATTATGTCAATAAGATAGTCTTTGTTTGAATCACTATGATGTGAACACTAACCCACATTTTAAGCCAGTTCTGGCTCTTGGATCAGTAATCAGAAATGTAAGTATCTCTAGATTGAGAACTGGTGTTAATGGGAAGCTTTGCCATTGCTTGATTGTGGACATGTTAGTCCATGTTCCTCAGTCCTTTATAAATCCAGGAAGTTATCCTTGAGCCTCAAGACCCTTTAGAAGGATCCTGCATTGGAATGTTTGGCCAAATTCACCCCCATTTTAAAGGAGTTGATGCTTGAGGGAGGAAACTGGACTACCTTGATGAAAACGTGCCACGCATGTGACGCCTTCACGACCCATGTGCTGCACGCACTTTTAAGTGCTCTTCACTTGTAGGAGAAAGTGTCAGTTGGTTTACTGTTGCCCTTAGGCCAGAGCCAGGGTGTCCTCGCAGGGATTAGGTAGGACTTGTCCAAATAAAGTGCCTGAGACACAATACAGCAGTAGGCAACGATGACTATTTTGTACTAATGATTACAAACAAGCATGAAATTGGTGTACAGTTCTATTTTTATATGGACGCTTCTGTTTTAAGAGGCCACAACTTGTACTCGTTTTTGTGTGGGTGGTTATAAATGCAGTGAGGCAATTGTCACGTGGCAACGCAAGGCATGATGGGAGGACTTGTCCTGCACACTTTTCTATGGGACGTGTTTCCCATCCTTTGCAGATTGTAAGAATTGGATTGTCCACCAATCCTGCCCTTGACAGCACTGTATAGTAGTGCAGGTGTGTGTTTGTGTGAAGCCACAGATGAGGTAGCTGGATTTTTCTGTATAAAAAAATAAAATCACGAGTTCCGACCGCTGTGTGCTTCTTTGTTTCGTTGGCAAATAAACCTAAACCGTGGCAGATTTAAAAGCACAGTATTAAACTCACAAAGCTTAATTAACAGTGTGGACGTACGTAACCAAGGCACCTAAAATGTCTGCTTTGTTTAACGTGTTAAACACTGCTTCAAATAGCAAAACAAGTTTCCTTGTGTTTAGATCCTTGCGCAATGCATATTTGCAGATCGGCATGTCTCACTGGTCTCTGCTTGTAATTCTGACAGGCGTACAGAAAGCTCGCCAAAGAATACCACCCGGACAAGAATCCTGAAGCTGGAGACAAGGTAAGATTTTTTTTTTTACTTCTTGGAAGGAACCTAAAAAGCAAAGAAGCGCTTTCATAATGCTTTCAAACTCTGATTTAAAGCATAAAACATATACAAACTCTATTTGTCCATAGCAGGGGTCGTGATAGTTTTTGTAAAGATGATCCATTATACGATAAACTTGAGGTTACAGTTGTGTTGCTGTAAGGGTTTGACTAGACAAAGAGCTGCTCAAATTGATGAAAATGTTGGCCGGAATTTGGCTATTTAAACGAGCGCAAAAAATATAAGCCTCATTGACCAGGGTGATGACATGACATGTCATTTTGCCATGTGACATCTCATTGTTAAGCTTGGTTCGTACGTTATCGCTAATTGAACACTTCTGAGAATTACCCCATGTTTGAAAGTGTGACAGAAGCCATGCGCATACTTGCATTTTCTTGCTTGGTTATTTCAATATCAAAGCAGCGTTGACCCTCATCACTGCGCCTGTACATCTGCTCCTGTAAATTAAACTGCAAATCAAAAAAACCTGACGGTTGTGACGTCTAAAATTCCTAGTGTCGCTCCGATTTGGGTTTGCTTCGTATGGCTGGCTCTCATAATACACTGAGTCGCGGCATCGCTGTTGTACCGGCTCCCACAATCATGAGAATAATTTGGATTTGTGTAACTTAAGACTATAAGCTCTCTGGACTTTGTCCAACAACAACGATATTTTTTTCATCAAATAATACCGACGAAACATCAAGTATTGCAGCTTGCCAGTGACCTGGGACACATGAGAACAGCAAAATAATTCGAATGAAAGTTTTGATTAAATGGCCAAACCAAAACACACTCTCCGCGTGTCATGATGACATAGCAGTGTTGCCAAGTTGAGTGGTGCCCTGAAAAATAAATACTTTGTAATTGGTGCTGGCTTCACTTGACAGTCCACAATTTTGTTGAATAATTTCTCCCAGCTGGGCCAACAAGAGATTAATTATAACCCTTAATTTAGGTAAATCACCTATCCAGTTTTTCCAGGACCCCCCCACCTCCTTTCTCAGCTTTGTATAAAAATAAACACCGGGTCATACCTTCATTGTTTCAACTAGAGGACACTATCCAGAGTCATGTGATGTTGACTTTGAGTTCTCATTTGATCATTAATGAAGCAGCAAGCTCACTGACAGTCCAGAACAAACAGTGGGAGCCGTTTGCCTTTTAGATTGTATCTTAAGTCAATGGTAATTTGAGGAAGAAAGTTATTCATCTTGTGTTCAGTTTGTAGCTTCTAGGCTGTCGAATTGTTTACCTTGCTTATATTAAAATGCAACATACAAAAACACTAAGGCTTATCTTGTAGCTGGACACCCTAGGCTTTGCATCCTGACAGCAGTGGATAGATTATGGCTGATGATTAATTATTATGATACATGCTTAACAATTAATCATTTAGTGTGTTCCATATTCGCAACATTCTTTTGCACAAGGCACTTTCACAGACAGGTGTAACCTGCCAGTAGGGGGTGATGTTACAAAGTCATTTTTCCAAAATAATGATTTGGTGGTTAATTCTCTACACGTGGAAAAGTGTAACCATAACACCAAAACGGCTTGGAGCCAACTAGTTTTTTCCCCATGGGTTATTTAACATCCATCACAAAGAAAATACTCACGCTTAATACACGCCCAGAATTAACCTGGTCGGCCATACGGCTCGAACCACAAAGCTCTACAACGCGCCGCAAACACGTGCTAGCACTCAGGCCATCGTCTTCCCGGTTTGCGTTTCTTAATGTTCACGTTCTTCCTCACTAATTTGTCACTTAATCTTTTCATCCCTCCCCGTGTGTCTTGCCCACCGGGCATCGTTCCCCTACGTAAACCAGTTCAAGGAAATCAGCTTCGCATACGAGGTGCTCTCGAACCCGGAGAAGCGGGACCTGTACGACCGGCATGGCGAGAAGGGACTGCGCGAGGGTGGCGGGGGCCCTGGCATGGACGACATTTTCTCGCACATATTCGGCGGCGGCCTCTTCGGCGGATTCATGGGGGGTGGCGGCGGCCGCGGGGGCCACCCGGGCGCGGGTCGCAGGAGGCGTGGGGAAGACATGATGCACCCGCTCAAGTAATCCTCGATGCCAATGCGCGAGGAGTGTGTTTCCCGTTCAACTAACGACGTCGTGGTTAATACGTTTCCGAGTAACGTTTCACCTGCGCCGCCGCCGCCGTGTCGTTTGTTTAACCGCGCGGTGTTGAACATTCTCAGGTGTTTAAAAAAATGCGGCGCGCGGCATCCTGTTATTTAAACACGTTGTAGTTCAATGCGCGCAAGTAATTTTAACCAGCTGTGCTTTATAATTAGTTTAATCGTGCCGGGTAGAATTTACTGAATTCTGTTCTCTGACAAGCGAAAGTTATCCGGATCTCTCGCAGAGCAGTTGAACCCTTCGTGTTAGAGAACGATCCGTGGAAACGGATATCCGATAGATACCTATTAATACCTTCAATTGACCACCTCTGCTCAGCATAGAGCGCAGCACTCGCCTACCCACTCAGTGGTGTGAGCTCAGCGCTCCGAGCCACTCGGCCACCTGGCAAAACACTCCCTTATCTTGCAAAGTACGTCACAGGTTCTATTACATCCCATTTCACACAGTGGAAGGCTTAATTTGTACAGTACATCACCTATTCACCATGAACAACAATAACTGACATTTATGAAGTACAATTCATCCAGGGATCTCGGCGCGCCATGCATAAAGTTAGGAAATTTGAATACTACACTGCCCACACCCAGTGCACTATTTGTACATGGTTGCTATTTTCAATAAAAATTCACACGTCCAACCTTTTCGGACACGTGTCATTGTACCGTAATTACACGCCATGGAAATTCTAGGGCACTGGCGAGTTGGCTACGTTCATTTGAAAAAAAAAAACAGCGGTCAGTAAGATTCAGTCGCCACCCATTTGTTTGTGTTAAGCTTCTCGTATCTTTTCTTCCCTTCCCCCTGGTATCCACACAGGGTGTCCCTGGAGGATCTCTACAATGGGAAGACAACCAAACTCCAGCTGAGCAAAAACGTCATCTGCAGCGGCTGCAGCGGGTAAGTTTGTGCCCCACGCTGTGAGGTTTTGATTTCGCGGTGCCGCGTAGAGCTTTGCGCTACGTGGCAGCGAGCCACATGCCTGCGTATGTATGTACGTTGAACTTTCGCACCGCCGTACGTAGCCAACCGTGCTTCGTCAGGGGTGGGGGGGAAGGACATTGAACTAAACACAAATAGCAGTTCTAAAGAAATGTTTTTTTAATGAAGATGATTTAAAAGTGCATAGCCCCAGTGGCGTCCTAATATGGGAAGGAAGAGCGTTCCAGACGGCCGCAGAAGCGCATCTGAAAGGGCACGATTCGGTGACTGTCTTTGTTCGATGGTTAGCCAAAAGCCGCTGCGAGGGTGACCGGAGTTTGCGTGATAGTTTATGCTCCTTGATGAGATCAGCAAGGTATTGCGGTTCATTTGCTGCAAGCACTTTGTTTGTAATGAGTACGACGTTACAATGTATTTGTTCGGTAACCTGAAGCCAATGCAGCTCAGCGAGCACTGGTCTCGTGTGCGAATAACACTGTGCTATGGAGGTCTGGCTGTGGCGCATGGGTGTGTGAGTGTTTTTTTAGAATTGTACAGATAAGGATTGGACAGATAGATTTGTGCGGCAGTGCCCACCGCTTGCTCACGATGAAGCCCCGTGGCGTTTAACCCCCACTCGGCACAGTGGTTGCCCATCCGTGCATTACCAGGGTTCAAGCTGCTTGGCTTCTGCGATCTGGTGAGATTGGACGCCTTTTGCGTGTATTGGGCAAAGGCCTCAACGTATATCGGACGGTGGTGGCACATGCCTGTAATTCGGCACTATGTATGTATGTTGAACTTCTTTCGCACCGTACGTAGCCAACTGTGAGAGCGAGAGTTAGTGCCATCACACTAATGTTGTGAAATTCCCTTTCGATGGGCTTCAAGGTCCCATACCCTAGCCTGCCAGGCGGTCCAGCAAGTGTGGACTAATCTCCATCTGTTCACTCTATACGAGATGTTGTTACCCCCTTACTATGCGTGGATTTTTGCCGAGTGCTCCCGATTTTCTCTTGCGTATATAAATACTCATTAATTGGCTGAAACATCTGAATGTATAGAGGACTGTAGAGCTTGGGTCATTGTTTTGTCGGCTCACCGCTTGGCTGCTGTGGTTGCTGGTGCCTCCGAGTCGTTCTGTCTTGGGACAGCGAGTAAATACTGTGCGCACTACAAGTTGATGGGTTTTTTTATTGTGTACTCGGCTATTGTTGGACCTGAACTTACCAGTTACTACTAGTACAGTATTGCCAAGAACTATGGAGTTACACTCCACACCGCTATCTCAGACTGCACAAATCTGCGCACTTGAAAACATCCAGGCCATGCCAAGTATAGTACATTATTTATAAACCAGGGAAATATTTTGGCGTTCCCACCACTTGTCACGCACTCGCCCGTGAGTGCATCTACCGTCCTTGGTTAAAGGAAACATTTATCTACAACCTGCACATTTGGAAAGTGTTCGGTGGGATTACTGAATTTAATAACTTTTGTCATTTAGAGAATATAAATGGCAAGAAATAAGTAGACGAAAACATAAACGTTGGTTTACCAAACCCATCAGCCGTGTAAGACTTATGGCAGTACATAATTTAAGCAGCTTTGTCTGAAGTCAAGCAAACGTAATCGGTGCTCGTCAACTGCAGATCGTACAGACAAGCACCCCTCTCCTTACGATATAAGGTCTCAGTTTGTTTGACGCTCCGTTATGTGAAACCTAACACCAAATAATATTTATCGTTGCGGCGCATATGTATAAAATAAATAAGCAAAGTCTCCCTTGCAAATCTGTTTGCATAATAAATTGTTTCTAATACAACCCATCCTTCTGAGAGTACATGATTTCTGCGAGACAAACTATTGTATTACTGTGCTAGTAGCGCTTACGGTGTGTGTGCCTCCCATATATATTATATCCAGTCATAGTTATTAACATGAACCAACGCAGATGGTGTTTGCTGAGGGGGTCAGTTCGGCTGGTTCGAGGTAGCAGATATATTGTACACGGATGAATGTCAAACAAAATTTCCACCAGTTTTTTCACATACCTCTACCTAACCATTTGTTTGGGTAAATTTCCAAAGCGTTGTAATTCTCATGTAGAATTTGTGCACTGGTTAACGTGTCACAGTGCAGTGTAAAGTTATGCTGATGGCCAAATCATCCGGAACGAAGCCTGCTCTCATCAGATCTCGGAAGCTAATCGCGGCTGAGCCCTGCAAAGTGCTTGGGTGGGCTGCTATCATGCATCAAGGTGGTGTAGGCTACTCTCACCACCTTCAGCTCTCGCTCATCATCGTCCTGGTTAAGTGTGGTCGACAAACCTCCACGACCCGCACTGCATGGAGGCCTTCATCCCGCAGCCGGTTAAACCATTTTTGGCTTGCTTCTAACGGGACAGATTTGTTTGTGTCACAACTGTTCCGAAGCTAACTCGCGCGCTGGTATTTGACACGCGGTACCCTTGTCACCAGAATGGGTGGCAGGTTAAGCCGCAGCACGTACATAGGTTGACATGACTTGACGTGCTCTCTCCTTACACTGATCACGATGTAGCGAGTGAGCGTTTGGGGTTGGCAGGGGGTATCAACACGAGGCCGTTAAAAGACCCGAGGCGCAGTATTATCAAGCGTTTCGTAGTCCTCGCCTCGCAGTCAATATATACGCGATTGTTAGGAGTACTGTTTGACGTAGGCAGTATGAGAAGAGTGAGCGATGGACTGATGCATCGCGGTACCACGGGAGATTGCTACGGTTTTGGGAGGCCTTTGTTACGCCGTTGTTATTGATCATGACTGGTGATGATGCAAGCTGTGAAGGTCACTGCATGTAGGAAACCGTATCCGCCTATACATCTCTGATGCTTTAATTTGTTTATTCACGACTATTATTGCTGTACTTAGGAATTGTAGCATTCATTCCTCCATCTTTCTGTCTATCCGAGAGCCCTTGACATACCAAACACCTAAATAAAACGGCTACAAAATTTATTTTACCTTTCTCCAATAACGTTGTACAAATCTGCGTAGTTCTTGGGCAAGGTTGTGAATTGAAAGTGTTCAAGAACAAAATGTCACGCTGCGTACCAGCGTGACTGCCGTTACAACGCAAGTGTGTGGGTGTGAAGCTTGTGCGCCTAATGGGTGCATTATTTTAATGGTGATTTGTTTCCATTCTACATGGAGACTTCCATAACGAGCAGGTTAAATATGATTAGACAAAATAATTTTCAGTACTTATCCAGGAAAGTCTAATTCAGTCTCAAGACTTTTTCAGGAGGATCCTGCTACATATGACATTTGGCCAATTCCGCGTGAAACCAGAGAGAGAACCTGTTATGTAAACTACTGCAATAGACTGAATAATCCACTGCTATCTTGCCATCATGTGGCCACCCTGCAACACAGACATACTACTCCTGTTATTTCCAGGCAGTTTCTCATCCCAAGTAGTGACCAAGCACAACTGTGCTGGAGATTTGACCATAGGCTCGTGAGCTTGTTTTTTTACACTTTGCAACGGAGGTTGAAATTCATTTCTATATTGTCTGTCCGTCTATTCCGTAATGGGGTGGTTACTGCTGGTAATGATGATGCAATATGAGTGAACCTGCAGTATAGTGTGTTGCTATTCGGGACGTAACCTATAGAAAACCTGCCAAATTGATCCGTCAGTTTTGCCGAAAAATATTGGAGAGACGAACCAAAGTAAAATAAAAAAAAAAATATTTGCAGTTGTCTAATACACAATTTTCCCTGGCAGCAACTGCAGAAAAAATGCTTATTTGAAAGTGTTACATAATCCATGTGCATGCACGATTTTTTTCCCCCAACTTATCTTTTTTATCTTAACCTCCATTTCTCATCACCGTCTCCCTACCACCTCCACCATCTTACGCACGCACATACAGCAAAGGCGGCAAGGCTGGTGCTGTGGAGGTCTGCTCCAGCTGCAAGGGCCGAGGGATCCGCGTGATGGTGCGGCAGCTGGCGCCCGGGATGGTGCAGCAAATGCAGACCATGTGCCACGACTGCCACGGGGAGGGTGAGACCTCCACTACCCGGCACACTCTTGGCGCTCTTTTTTTCCACTACCGCAACAGAGCCGCGCCGAGCCATCCCCCGCACGGCTGCGGGACGTGTCGGGTTTATCCACCTGCAGAAGCCGAGCCGTGCATGCTGACATGACACACACATATACACGATAGGACACGGTTTGAAATGTATCAGAATTTGTATTTAGACTGGAGGAATCTGAGCTATGAAGCTCTTTTTCCACAGATGTCCATTATGGGTGGGTCAGCATGTATGTATTTATGTTGAACTACTTTTGCACCGTATGGAGCCAACTGTGCTTATCGCACGTTTGGGGGAAGGACAACAAACTAGACACAAAAATCAGTTCTAAAGAAACGTGTTTTCAATCCAAATTTAAAGTGCATAGCACCAGTGGTTCCGTAATATTGGTTTTGGTTCTGACTCTGCTTGGCCCGGTAAATAGCCAGTGGAAAACCAGCCACACCGGCTGGGGGTTGTGTGCTTATATAAATGAGGGATCTTCGTCGCGTGCATTTGTGCACGGGGGCACTCGTTGCGCGTGTTCTTCCTGACCGTACGTCGCCATCCCCTTACAGGCCAGGTAATAAACGAACGCGACCGGTGCAAGGCGTGCGAGGGCAAAAAGGTGGTGAAGGAGGTGAAGATCCTCGAGGTGCACGTGGACAAGGGCATGCGGCACGGCCAGAAGATCGCCTTCCGGGGCGAGGGTGACCAGGCGCCGGACCTGGAGCCCGGCGACATCGTGCTGGTGCTGCAGGAGAAGGACCATGAGGTGAAAGGGCGCACAGGCTGCCAGGGGCAACGGTGTTGCCGTGGGGCGACCCTGCTGCCGTGGCAACCACGTCACCATCCTCAACTGTGTTACCGTCAGGCTAGCAACAGGGGTTGGCAACCAGAATAACAATTCGGTGTAAAAAAAACTTATTTCAAGTGCCGCAATGCGTGTGCGTAACGTCATGAAGCAGTTCTCGAAGAGCCGCATGCGGCTCCAGAGCCGTAGGTTTCCGACTCCTGGGCTAGCAGTTACCGGTGGTGGTGAAAGTGTGCTGATGGAAGATGTTTGTGAACAAAAATTACCGTTCATGCCCAGAGTAAAACCTTGCGGGAGTGTATAAAAAGAGTGGGCCATCTTTAGTGGGTTTGGGGGGGAGGGTTGTATGTCAGTGGTCGGGAACCTAAGGGGCAAGAAGAGGACTTGGAGAAACTTTTGGCCTACAACCACACATTGTAACTCGCACATACCCAGTCATTTCTGTATTCATGTATGCACGTTGAACTTCTTTCGCACCGTACGTAGCCAACCGTGCTAATCGGAGGTTACTAGAGGGAGGCCCTTGCAACGAGCAAAGTGACTTTAGCGCGTTAAAATTAGAAACGAGTGCCCGATTAGTGCCGCTAAGATGCTTAGCGATGGATACAAATAGTTTGTGGGTCTTGGGCCGTGTGAAGTCAAGTCACGGGTCGTACCTGGCCCTGTGGGCCTTTGGTTACCCACCCCTATCAGAGAGCAGAACAGGAAGGTATTGCACATGGGTGTGAACAGGGAAGGCAATCGGCATTACTGCGAGACATTCGGAGAAAGCACCGTTTTATTTCAAGGCCTCTATAAATATGGTTGTCAGTATTGATCTTCAACTTACCGGTCAACTTTAAGCAATGACACTAGGGCACGTTATACGATTGAATGGGTGACAGTTTGATCTGTTCGCCTGTGTCAGTTGGTGGAGGATCTTGCGACAAAAATCTGGCCAGATCATTGCTTGGCCTAACCCAAAAATGTATTCCGAATCATGGTATTGGCTGTGAAAGCCTTACTATGTGTTAACTTCATGAAATAAGTTAACACTCCTCTGAAACGTGGAGCTATCACTTTCACAATATTCAGTCACTTCTTCTTGGTTCTTTCGGTAAAGTCACGTAGAAGGGAAGTAATAAAATAATAAAAATAAAACATAATAAAACAATTCTCACGACGTTTCGGCCACAACGCAAGCAGCCGTCCTCAGGTGAAAACCAGGTCCGTCGACCTGGTTTGAGGACGGCTGCTTGCGTTGTGGCCGAAACGTCGTGAGAATTGTTTTATTATGTTTTATTTTTATTATTTTATTACTTCCCTTCTACGTGACTTTACCGAAAGAACCAAGAAGATGAATCCCTGCAGTCACGAAAGCTTTAAATCGAAATTCAGTCACTTGTTAAGATATAAAGAGGGTCATTAGAAATCAGGTGGAGTATTTATCAAATGGTCACCCTGTATTATATCAATGATTAAACTCTAAAATTCCCAAGGTTTGATTCGGTCTATGGTAAAGAAAAAGTATTTATCGGTGGCTGTTCCCTCATTGAGGAATCTCTTTCATCGCGTTAGATTTGGGAATTAAATCGTACCACCTCTTATAAACCTCCGTTCACTCCTGCAACTCTTACATGGCCGGCGGTGTGTCATTCGTAGATGCCATGATGAATCATTAGCCGCCTGTTTTTAACGCTTTCTAACCAAGGTTGCCAATCCATTACTTCTGCCCATCTTGAAAAGATGACCCAACAAGAACCAATGTTTAGTTTACAATTGTGTAGATATTAGGTACTTGCCCGATTTGAAAACTAGGCGAATTGATGAAGGCGTTGCCCAAAATTTTGGAGACGCCCCCCCCCCCTCACTCTACATGGAGATAAAATAACTATTTGCAAATATGCAACGGTGTTTTAACCCAAACCGCTACCCGCATCGGCTTGCGTGTCCTTAATTAAAATAATCGGAAGACGGGACGAGTGTCGGGAGAGCGTGAACGCGTGTAAAATATCTTTCCCAACTTATATTTTTCGTATTTTTTTATGCTTGTTTTGACAACGACGATGATGTTCTGTCGCCTCGCAAAGGTGTTCCAGAGAGACGGCAACGACCTGCACATGATGAAGAAGATCGGTCTGGCAGAGGCGCTGTGCGGGGTGCGCTTCACGCTGGCGCACCTCGACGGGCGGCAGATCCTCGTCACCTACCCCCCGGGGAACGTCATCCAGCCAGGTGAGGCACCTGGTGATAGTGCATAGCTGTCGCTCACCGTTCACTTGTTCACCCAGCAAGAGCCTCGCAAGACTTGTAGGTTTGTTTTTAGGAGGGTGTGTGTGTGTGTGTGTATGCACGTTGAACTTCTTTCGCACGGTACGTGGCCAACTGTGCTCATTGGAACAGTAACGGCGGTAGCAGTGATGGGACAGTGCCATGGAGGCAACTGTCGGCTGATGAGACTGTTGAATGAGTGAGTGCCGGAATGTAATTAATCCCTTCTTAAAGATAATCTAAATGAAGGTAAAATATAATATTTGTGCATAAATGAACGCGTTAATGTGAAACCGAGCGTGTTTGCGTTGGCTAATTGTAATCGACTTGGTTTAAGATTATTAAATGGGCTTGGCGGGGACATGTCACCGCAAGGATTAATGGACGACAATCAAGAAAAAATGCCACGAAGGAATGGATTGCGAGAGGACGTTCTGCAGATGAGATGGAGGGAAGACATTGGCTAGCGTTCAAGTGCTGGATGGATCATTAACACATCGCAGCATAACGAGAGATGTGGCAACTCTCATGCGTTCTTCCAGCAGTGCATGGGATGGTGGCCGATGACACTGGTTTTGGTGGTGACTTGTGTGTGTGTGCAGGCTGCATTCGTGGAATCGTTGGGGAGGGAATGCCCCACTACCGCAACCCTTTCGAGAAGGGAAACCTCTACATAAAGTTTGACGTGGAGTTCCCCGACAAGAATTGGATCGATGGCGAAAAACTGGAGGTGAGGCTGTTGGGTCGGATTGGCGAATTCACTGGTGCTGTGCCAACTAGGATAGACGATGTTTACCTAAAATAAATGTTTTTGGATTAATCAAAAAATATTTTGTAACCATCATCTGGCATTGTGTATCTCGGGCAGTTAAATTCTTTTAGATTTTTTTTCCAAAAATTGCAGTGCCCATTTTTTTTATTGGAATGTAAAATTCAAACGGAATGCATTTAAGCGGTTGCAAAGTGTAACCATGCACCGCCATTCTCACTCCCTCTCACCCTCCCTTGCCCACCCTTTCTCCATCACCCTCTCTCGCTTTGCCCTCCCTCCCCCCCCCCTTGCCTTCTCGCTCTCCCACCACCAGCTCCTGGAGAAGCTGCTGCCCGAGCGACCCACGCTGCCGCGCCCCACGAGTGGCGACTTCGAGGAGGTGGACCTCCACGAGCTGGAGGCGACGCGCGGAGGGGCCGGCGCCGGGGGTCCCGGCGGCCGGCGGGAGGCCTACGAGGACGGCTCGGACGACGAGGGCGGCTACCAGCAGGGCCCCGGCGTGCAGTGCGCGCACCAGTGACGGGCCACGCGTGCGCGCGCCATGAGCGGTTGCGTGCGCTTTGATGATTGTCACCCATGTGCGTGCGTGAATGCTTTGGCGCTCGTTGCCCCGCGCGTGTGTGTGCGCGCGGTTGCACACGCGTGCATAGCTTTGTTGGTGCGTTCCTACTGCTAGGCCCATGTGCATTTTGTCGCTCGGGCCCACCGCATTCTGTCGCGCATGGACGTGGAGGTACGCGCAGGCACGCGCGCGTTTGAGCCGGGTTTTTTTTCGTTGTCTCGTGTGAAGTTTTTTTTCTGTTTTGTCCGGGCAATGGCGCTCGGGGGAGCCCTTCTAACCGCGAAGCGCGCACGCACGCGCACGCAAGTGCGGTAGGGTTGAAATATCGACCCGCGCGTGTAGCTAATGCTCCCCCACCCCCCTCTTCACCCCACACCCTCTTCCTCAATAAGTACACTTGCTTGTTATTAATTTTGTTAAATCCCTAAAAGCATCGTCGCAGCCCAGTTTTCTCTGCATTGTTTTGTTCGACTAGGCCAATTCCCCTTTCGTTTGATTCTGTATGTGTGCTTGCGCACGCGTGTTCGTTGCAGTGATATGTACAGTGTTAAGGAGCCTTGCTTAACCAGCCCCCCGCGGCTTGCACGATTGGTAAACTAAGTTGGGTGCGTCACTCTCCATGGGACGCCACCGCAAGCGACCGTTCAGGTCTGTCATCTTCAGAGATGGTCTCAACGCGAGTACATTCAACACCCGTTATCTTGTGGCGGCAGTGTTTATCCTTGCCTGTCTTTGGTGCAAATTGTTTCTGTTTCGCCACACGCCTGTTTTTGTGTGTTGTGTGTTGGGCTTGTTCGCGTTGATTTGGCTCCGCTGTGATTTAGTTGTTGGCGCAGCCTTGTCGTTTGTATACTTGCTGTGGGTTAAAGATTAACGGACGAGCGGACCGGGGGAAAAACTCCCGTGCGCAGAAGAACTGTTGAGAAAGGTGGTTGGCGTCACTTTGCACCTCACTGTGCCGTCAGTACGTTGAAAGGTGGTAACCTGCCACCCCCCCCCCCCCCCCGCGGTTTGCGCGTGTGATGCGGCGTGGAAACGGGATCACTCTAGGGGTGGGTAGGGGTGGCGCGCGGGAGCAGCTTGTACGGACGTTTGTCCAACGCCGATCAATTGGGAGCACGCGTGATGGAAGCAGAAACTAAATTGTACAAAATTGCAAGTGGAGGAGATGCTTCGTGCACTCGCGGTCGTTTTATTTGTTAGTCATTGGTCAGCAACTTGTCGTAATTTATCATGCTTGCTTGAACCCATGGGGATAGCAAATAGTTGGCCTCCCTCTCCACTGCTTACTAGTTTATTGCTTTTATCATCGTGTAATCGCATGTTAATAATTTAATTATTTCACGCAAAGTTGCGTAAGTGGTGTAAAAACAAAACGTTGAGTATAGGCAAGTGTGCTTTGGCGGTAACGAGACCCACACGTACAGTCGCGCGGCAAGCACCGGTGGGGTTTAAATAGTGCCACGAATATTACCCATACCCCCCAAAGTGCGTGTAACCCCTAATCAGTTCTAATTTATTACTGTATCTCGGCTAACATGAATAGGCAACGCCGCTTCGGGTCCTCCCCCCCCCCCCCCCCCCCAGCATTTTCTGCGCCACATTTATTTTGGAGTGTAACCGGTCAGCAATTTGGCTTGGCGAACAGCTGTGCTTGCTATCGCGTGCCAGCGCCCGGGATGTTCTGTACCAGCGAACGACGGATCGTGAAGAAAACCTGACCAATGCATCCGGGCCTTGTGGTGTCGTTTGGGTTGGTGATGTGTGAGAGTTTGACACTGATGTGATGACAATGGTATTGGTGGCAAGGGGGCCACCTCTGTCCTCTCTACCCCCCACCCCGTTTCTGTCGCCAATGCTTTGCGTTTAACGTCTAATCATAAATACATTGTGTCGTGCCTATTTAACTCGCACGGTATGCGTTTGGCTGCACCTCTAAGACGGACCCATTTCATTTAGGGTGGCACCCTGTCAAAATAAAAGCCCCCACCCCCTCGTGAATGTCACAACAGTGTCAAAACAAATTCAAGTTTCCTGCCACTAACCCAAAGGTTTATTCCTGTTGTATCTCATCTACAGTCGTTAAAGTCTGATTGGCAGTTGCAATATTTTCATGTAGTTCTCTAATACGTTTATGCTATAGTATATATTGTTTTGCCATTCTTTCCCTGCCCAGGACGGTTTCCCCACAGGTAATGAGTATGGTCACGGGAACTCCTATTTTTGACAGTGAAGCCTTGTAGCATCGTGCGTGGTCTGTATCCGATTGAGCCCAATTGTATATGCTCCATCGTGCCCATGGTTTTTCTTTTGTTCACACTGTGATGGAAAACAAGATGGTTTTTCTTTCTTTCTCAATAAACACGTAACTGAACATTACCCATGACAACCCAAAGTCGTGTGCGTTCCTTGATATGCTTGCTGTAACACATGCGCGCGCCGCTTTGCGATGCAGTGTTTTGAAACGCAAGGTGTTGGTTGGTTTGAGAGCACGCAGATTTGCGAAAACTCACAAACTCGATGGGACTTGCAGGGTGGCTCGGAGGTAGAGGTACAGCAAGTGGGTTTCTGAACAAGTCTGAGAAGCTTTTACTGGTAGGAACCCACTGGTTCCACCAGCCCACGGGATTATTGTGTCCGTCCGTCGTGCAGTGAGGGGCTGGGTGGGGAGGGGTGGGGTTGGGTGGGAGGGGTGGGGCTGGGTGGGGAGGGGCTGGTCACCCCGTGGTGCCCTTATAAAACTCAACGTTTAACCTACTCACGCCGGCTTGTGCCCACCCTCAGTCGGGCATATTTGCAAAATACACCACACCGCCGTTGACCCTGGCCATTGAGCGAGCAACCCAACGTTCCTACCAGCTCCCTCCGCAGGAATGTGTTTGTGTATGTATGTTGAACTTCATTGGCACCGTACGTAGCCAATAGTGCGAATCGGAGGTGTGGGCTCAGGACAACAAAGCATGGGAGGACAACTAATGTATGCGCCAAATCAAGTTTAAAATAAAGCACAACTTTATTTTTAAAAAGCAATTTGCCTTGATCCCTCGAAGTTATTTGCCCGCGCCGACTTGCGGTCTGGGGGAATTATTGAACGTTTCCAAATAATTTTGATTTCTCATGTGGCGATGACGCAATTGTGCTTGCCCTGTTTTCTATTTGCTTCATTGCTCTACTCTTAATTAGTTTTATTTGTCATTTGTGAAGACCCAAGTCACACTCCCAAATGAGACTAGAATACCCTGGTCCTCTTGGGTTATTACCTGGTTCATTAAAATAAATTAACTTGACTTGATAATCTCTTGTTTCTTGAGTTTAACGATACGGTTTTCTGGTGAAATTTTAAATAGACACGATCACAGCATTGCTTCTTTCTGATCTGGCTGATTTATTTTTAATACAGGAAAACTTCTTGAAGGCGGACCGAGTGAGGCGGATAGCGTTTCCGGATCTGTCCACGTCTGGCATATCATACATGTCTTAATGTATACGTGTTGTCGTCCTTGTCCGCGCGGTTGGCTATTTGCTGTGCAAGAGAATTTCAACAGAATCATGAGAGGTGGCGGTGGATTGGAGAAGCCTTCATCCAGCAGTGGATTGATAATGTCCGATAATAATGACTAATTATCACGCTTGTTTTCCCACAAGTCTTGTCGAATCTCGTGTCATATATTAAGGTGTCCTGCCAATATTTCACAATAGGGCGGGAGGGGGGGCAATGTTTGCTCTGCACAGGATTCCAATTTTGTAATTCGCGGGTAACATAGACAGCCTATTTCTATATAAGATTAATCCGGGCTTGTCGCTGGATTACAACCGCGGACCTCTGCAATAAGGCCATGTCACCAATAAGTGATATTTCGTTATTTGTCATATTGTTATAGTGCGTATAAACGTAGACATTTAATTATAGTACGCCGCACATTAATATAAGCGAAAATGCTATCCGCACCAATCAATCCGGCTTCCAGGGGGTTTTCCTGTAAGATCATTTTTTCCCGACCTGATCAGAAAGCATCGGAATCAGTATATTTATATTGGAGGAATTTTATGATCTACAAAGCTATTTTTTTCACATGTCAAGAAGAAGCAAAGCAGTGTCCAACCACACATTCACATGAAGTGTCGAACGCCCACTGGCAGGAGGTCACGGGACAGACCCAGCAGGTGCCATGGGTCGACTGACAGATGACTTGCCGATGCAGCACCTGTGCCACACACATCCTCCAAAGACAAAAAAAAACCCGTATAGCCTTAACAGACTGTAGGGGCAAGTGTTGTTAGCGAGCACCTAGTAAATACGGCACGAGGGGGTGGGTGGCCAACACCACGCCCGGCCGCCTTTGTCTCCCCAATGGCGATTTTTACACCGCACGAGGTACTCATTTGAGGCTGAGTCGACCTAGGGGAAGCCCAGAACCGGATCAAATAATCGTCACTGGTGTTTTCCGTGAGCGGGAATCGCTAACCGCTACACTACCGCTCCCCACATCCACCACACACCCGACCACCCACAAAAACCTGTCAAAGCCCCCCCCCCTCTCCTGCACCCCAACTAATTTATAGAGAAATGTGACCTTGAAGAGGGGGGCCTATGCAATTTAACAATTATAGTCACGCATCCACCACCTAATGAGATGGATTTGCACCGCGTGCATCGAGACCCTGGGTACACGCACGCCTGCACGGTAATCATCTGTCCCCCCCAAACAAGCTGAGTCCGATTGCGTGCTGCTCGTTAGAATTCGTGTCTGTTATCCACTTATTATGATTACAATGATCAATTTGTGTAGCCGGCTGTGACTGCGTGGATTGAATACAATACATCCGTTGCTGTGATATTTATTTACCAAATTAGACCTCCTCGGCCTCTCTTAGGTCGACTCAGCCTTAAATAAGGGGCCGTCCATAAATGACGTCACGCGATTTTGGACGATTTTTGACCCCCTCCCCCCTCCCCCTCGTCACACTGCGTCACAAAAAGTCAGACCCCCCCCTCAAATATGACGTCACAAAGCTACTGCCCCCCCCAAATAAAACATGCTTCATATCGCTTTAAACTATTGTCATTGTAGTGCGTATTTAATGTGGCGCTACACTCTGATGTTGTAGGAGAAAACATTAATTAAAACGTCTATTTAATTAAGTAGAACGTGTTGTTTATATTTATTTAAATTTACGCATTTTGATGTGACGTCACATTTTTCAAACCCTCCCCCCCCTCGTCACACATCGTCACAAATGTCTGACCCCCCCCCCTCCTCCTAGGTGCGTGACGTCAATAACACAGGAGGTGTTAGGATGACAAACACCAAATCGACGCACCTATTTCAATGCATCGTGTCTACGCGTGCTTGTGCTCAAATATGCACATTAACGTGTATTTGGTAATACAAATGTTCCCATTGTCCTTAAAGTGATCGGCCTCCACCCGAGACAGCCGCCTTTGTTGTTGCCTCGTCTCACCACCACCAGTGTCAGACCAGAGAACCCCAAAAGGCGAACAGCACAAAAGCAATTCACGTATCAGAGCATCGATAGCCCCGGGTGAATAGGTATTTCAATGGCACCAGTTTTCACTGGTGAAACAAGACCATAAGGGAGGCTGTCTCTGATGTAGGCCAACTCAGTTACAAACACAATGCATATGTAATCATTATCGAAGCGTATTTGTTTGCATGTTTTGCCGTAGGCATGTGTGGTTAATGCGGACGTGATGCCTATCAATGGGGGGTGCCTATTTGGGTGTTTGAACGTCGTAAAGCCGCCTGTGTTATTATGCAAGGTGTAAAAAGGCTATTCTTTGTGCTTCACCTACAGCCTGGTCCAAATGTCTTGTGACCCCCCCCCCCTCCACCAATTTAATTATGTAACAAGTAATATTTGTTTAAGTAAAGGTTTATTTATGTTGTATTAATTTGCAAAGAAAAAACTTGTGAGGGGTCAATTATTTGCGGGTCACAAGACATCTGGACCACGAACACGCATCGACACACAACCTCGTGAACTCGCCTCTAATCAACACCACGTGGTGTACTGAGAGTTGATTGTAATAGCCAATTGAAAATCAACAGCGCCAGCAGCCGAGCGCTGACGCAATGGAGGGGAAACTCAGGCGGGCCTTGTGAGCACCATACTCCTAAACCAGCGCCACGAGTTCGACTCACCGTCCGCAGCCAAATATCGGGGGTGAATAAATATCCTCGGCCTCTCTTAGGTCGACTCAGCCTTAAATAAGGGGCCGTCCATAAATGACGTCACGCGATTTTGGACGATTTTTGACCCCCTGCCCCCTTCGTCACACGACGTCACAAAAAGTCAGACCCCCCCCCTCGAAATATGACGTCCCAAAGCTCTGCCCCCCCCCCCCCAAAATAAAATTAAACATGCTTCAAATCGCCTTAAACTATTGTCATTGGAGTGCGTATGTCATGTGGCGCTGCACTCTGATGTTGTAGGAGAAAACATTTATTAAAAAGTCTATTTAATTAAGTAAAACGTGTCGTCTATATTTATTTAAAGTTGCGCATTTTTATGTGACGTCACATTTCTCAACCCCCCCCCCCCCTCGTCACACATCCCCCCCCTCCCCAGGTGCATGACGTCATTTATGGACGGCCCCTAGGTCGGCTCAGCCTTAAATAAGTGGCTGGTGCGGTGTGTCACCATCTGCACTGGGGAGACAAATGCAGCCACCCACCCCCTCCTCCTGTGCCCCCATAATCTGTTCAAGGCGATGCGGTGACCCTTGTTGGCACTGCGTTACGAAACCGACTTTCCAGAGTTCGATTCCCAGCCACGGCTCGCATTGGTGACGAATATTTGATCGGAGGCGGTCACGGACCGCCTCTAGTTGGTCTCGGCCATACATTAGCACCTCGTGCTAATGTATGGCCGAGGGGGGGGGGGGGCAAAGGCGGTCCGGGCGTGGCGCTGACCCCCCCGACCCCCCCGTGCGCCACGCATGACTTAATAGGTGCTCGCTAACAGCGCCTGCTTCAACGGTGTCGCAGCACGCCGAAAAGCACCTCTGCCGCGGAGATGGAGCGATGGAGTTGGCTCCCGCGCCGGTCGCCGCTGCGTGGATTGTTGCATCGCGAGACGCTGAGAACCGACGAGGGATCGGAGGAGTCGCGCGTGCAGAGCAGTGGATAGATCGTGGCCGATGAAGGGGGTCTCTGTGTGCGTGCCTGGGTTCCCGGCCATCGTCGATTTAAAAAAAAACGTGCTAACCAGTGTTATACATTGGCCATTGGTTTGCACGTTTTATCCGAGCAGAAATGTCCTCCTGGATGTTTCATCCTAAGCCGACTCCGTCTGAAACGAGTGTCTGGGGCGGTATGTTGCGTAACCGCCACCTCAACTAGCACTGGGAAGATGAA